GCTCAGGGGACATACAAGAGCACACATAAAGGATTCCTACCATTTTGTCAGCGAGATTAAAGACCTACGTCTGGCAGACAATGAAACTATGGTCAGTTTTGATGTGCAGTCATTGTTTACATGCTTACCTGTTGAAGACTGCATCTCAATTGTAACTAGAAGGCTGGAAGAAAACAACATGCCCGTAGAATATGCAGTATTACTTAGACACTGCCTTACATCTGGCTACCTATTGTGGAAGGAGGAGTTCTACAAGCAAGTAGATGGTGTGGCGATGGGCTCACCTGTATCTCCCATTGTCGCCGACATATTCATGGAAGACTTTGAGGAGAAAGCCCTGCTTACTTCTCCCATAAATCCAAGATTCTACAAGCGGTACGTAGACGACACTTTCACAATTCTACCTTTAGATAAAGTAACTGCATTTTTAGACCATCTTAACTCTATAAATACTAAAATTCAGTTCACAATGGAGTTAGAGGCAAACAATTCCTTAGCTTTTCTAGATGTGTTAGTAATTCGGAATCCTGATAACACCTTGAGCCATACTGTGTATAGAAAAAAGACCCATACAGATAGATATTTAAACGGTGATTCTCACCACCATCCTTCACAGTTAGCTACCGTGGGTAAATCTTTGTTTCAGAGAGCACGAGGGATCTGTGACAGTAAACACCTGGCTGCCGAGCTCCAACATGTCAAGCAAGTTTTGCATGACAACAAGCTTCGGGTCCCGCGCCTACGTCACAGAGAACGAGTGAAGCCGGCCACAGTCGAGCGTGTACCTGCTGTACTGCCATATGTTAGAGGAGTCACTGACAAGATTGGCTACATCTTGAAGCGCGCTTCCATCAAAACATACTTCAAGCCGCCGAAGAAGATTGGTCAGTTTTTACCATCAGTCAAGTGTAACGTCCCTCTGCAAGATGCAGGAGTGTACAAGCTTGATTGTGAATGTGGTCTCTCCTACATAGGACAAACTAAAAGATCAATTAAAACCCGCGTCAAAGAACATATAGCTGATGTGAAGAATCGACGCTCCGGGAAGTCTGCAGTCTGTGAACATGTACAGGATCGCCCCCCGTCACTACATCAGATTTGATAGACCACAAATCCTCGCTAAAGAACACCGATTCCTTCCAAGGATGATTCGCGAGGCTATTGAAATCAAAAAACATCCTAATTTCAATAGAGAAGATGGCTGGGTGCTACCATCTGCTTGGGATCCTATAATAAATAAAATTAAATCCCAACCCAAGCATACAACTGCAAGACTCCATGATACCATAAGTTCATACTGTGTAGATCGGAACAAAAGTTAAATTTTAATCTATGGTAACCGCGGTTAACTATGACAGCTGGACGTTGAACATCTCAGTCCTTCCCGTGACCATGGGTGGTGTAAAGCTCTCGAAACGTCGGGTAAAAAAAAATAAAAAAAAAAGTTAAATATACGCGATAAATTCCGTAAAAATTAGTATTATTTCAATGTGTAGTGTTCGCGTAAATATAAGAAATCATTATACAACCTTTTTTGTTCTTCTGACAATATGTTATTAGCTTCTATGTGTTCATAAATGGTTTCAGTTAAGCAAGATGTAATTATTTTGTACAATGTTTGTAAACATGTGATAGGTCTATATTTTGCAGGATTGTCAAGATTACTAGGCTCTTTTGGTATCATATACGTTATTCCTGAACTAATGTATTGCGGCAAAGTATCCGGGCTTTGTATGAATTTATTAACAAAATTAAACAGAATCGGGTGGATAGTTGTAAACTTTTTTATACCAATAGTTATGTATATTATCTGATCCAGGTGTTTTCCAATTATGCAGTTTTTTAATTACTTTATGGAAAGTGTCTATCTTGATGTGTTGGAATTGCATGGCTTTAATCTGTGATGTGTCTATTTGATTTTTGATCCAATCCGCTTCTGTATTATAATGTTTAGGTTCCTCCCATATTGTAGACCAGTAACTTTGTAATTCTCTCGGTGATGGTAAGATATTATTTTCGGAGCTTTTCAAACTGCTGATTTTATTTTTAAAAGGATTTTTTATATTACGATAGAAAAGTTTTTCATTTGAGCAAAATAGAATGTTTTGAGTTTTTCGTAGAGAGCATGCTCTATATCTTTTTAACCGACTACTAGTAAGTTTTAGTTTTTGTTTAAGTGTGTCTAAAAAATGTTCGTGTTTGGTGTTATGTTCTTCGTGGACAGAATGAATTTTATGTTGTTCAAGTATAGAATTTACGTGTTTGATTAATTTTTTGACCTCGGTTTCCATTAATATATTGTGTTAGCCTTGCAATTTTTGCTCTTAATTCACTTACTTTGTTTTCTAATCTTTGTTCCCACTTTGGCTTATTATATTTCTTCTGTTTCTCAGGTCCTAACGGATTATCAACTTGTATAGCTATTTCAATTTTAGCTCCGTTGAGCTTAGCTGAAGTCCATGCTGCACAGTACACTAAATTCTGAAATGTTTTAAATTCAATTTCGCTGTTGATATATTGTGGCAATAAAATATTGTTTACATAGTCAACTATTTTACTCAATTTCTTTGATGACCTCTGCTTTGGTATAAACTGTCTTTCTGTTGGGTTTGTATTAGCAAAATATTCTAAAGCTTTAGCAAACATTTCATCTATGGCAATTATCTTTTCCCTATGTAAATTTTCATTTTCATTTGTTGTGTGGTTTTCAGCATTTAAATCTAAATTTTCTGTATCTGGTTCTTCGTTGTCTGTGATACCTATCTGAAGTATTGAGTTGTCATTGGCTTGTATATCGTTATGCTGTTCTTGCAAGTCATTCTTAATTGATTCTAAGCGGTTTACACTTAAATATTTCTTATGTAGAATTAATCTTCTTTGGTCAGCTATGCGTTGCTCTGTTAAATGACTTAAATGGGGGAATTGGTTTATAAACTCTTGGTGTAAGAGTTTCCTATATGCTATTTTATTTTTCTCACATTGAGTTATTTTGTAGTAAATTCTTATTATAGCTTCATTATATTCGTCTGTCCATTTCATGCGTTGTTGTGTTTGTAAAGGGTGGGTACTAGTGTGTTGATTATTTTTTGTAACAGAGATTGATTGGGAAAATGTAGTCTGTAAATTTGATTGCACTTCATTATAAATTTGATTTACTATTTCTTGGGGCAAAAGTTTGTTATTCATTATTGCTCTTCGCTAATCTCCTATTCTTTGACGAGTAACTTGCATATCTGGGAATCGTTCTATAAATTTCATGTGTAATGGTTGTAAATAACCTTTAGTGTCAGTATCCATCATTGTTAAATAGAGGTAAGTACGCAATATAAATTCATTCATTTCAGAAGTCCATTTTTTACGCGTGTTACGGTTACTGATGGTGGGCACAGTTTCTATAACAGGAGTTATTTTCTGTGCATCATCCTTCAGCAATTGGCTACTTGATGATAATGAAGAAGATAAAGACTGGTGTGAAATGTTTGGTATTGATTTTTGTCTATCGTTTCCGGGGGTATATAAACTATCACTATCACTAAGGGTATCATCAGTGTCCGTGGATCTCGCTTGAGTCGTTTGACGGGAAATCTTCCTCGCCCGGAGATTGTATGCGCCCCAAGATACAGCACCATCTCGGCTTCCGCCAGAGTCGACATGGTTACTGAATCTGCCGGGCACTGGGGGCCGTAGTTTACGCCGTGCACTCATTTTTTTAAACCTGGTTTGGGATCGTTAGTTGGGAAAGGGTCATTAAATATTAATAGGCATAGAGATTATTCTGCCTTGTTATTGTTACAGAGTATAGTTGTTCAGACTGCAATTGAGTACATGCCTTTCCCTTAAGCCCCCCCACCACGACAAGGTGATCCCGTAGGGGGGTTATTATTATTATTATTATTGGGGACTGTTGAAAGCTTAAACTGCCAAAAACTTAAAACTATGAAATAACACTATACACTATACACTGCCATTACAACATGTTGGTGACACGAAATCTAAAGATTTTAGAATTTACTCATCCAAAAAGTGTTCAACGCGTATATCATACGCGCAACACGTTATACTTATTTTTTTTTAAAAACGTTACCCCTACAATAGGATTTTCTCTTTTATAGACCATACAAATACTTGCTCCGTGCGGGACTCGAACCCGCGACCCCCAGCGCAACCACTCATTGCTAAGCCACTGCGCTACGGAGTCGTCATAGTCTTTATCACTTATAGCTACAGATATAACATTAACATTGGCATATCGGTGACCTGGACTCAAAAGATTTAACCCATCCAAAATAACTAAACGCGCAAGAAGTTTTCAATCTAATAAACTGCGATTACCAACCCGTTTGCCATGTGTGACAATTTTTTTATAAAATAAGGTAGACAAACGAGCACAGCACAGTCCACCTGATGGTAAGTGGACCTGTGTCCATCAGACATCTAAATTTATCCTCATTTAAGAATCACAATGCAAATGCGTTGTCACCACTGAGAACGAAGATGGAATTCCTAGTAAAAGGGGCTCCGGTTCTCTACAGTCACCATACGAAACACAGCAGCATTAAGCTGCTTTGACGCTCGTATTCTTTTAGAGCGTGGTCCTACCCCAGCCTAGCCGACCAGTTCGTGCTGAAACCATAATATGGCCGCAACGTGGCTCCGCCACATAAAAAACTTTCCTAGAAATATAACATAGATACGAACTTCGCTACCAAAGGAAATCTGATTTCGAGTCAGATTATGATTAGCCTCTTAGTTAATGATTTCTTAAATTTACGCGAACACTACACATTGAATAAAATCGGGATGAAACGTCGGGATAATAAAAATAAATTAAAGATGTAATTTAACGCAATAAAATCCGTAAATAATAGTTTTATTCAATAGCCTCTTAGTTATTTCTTCGTTACTTATTTACATTGCGGGGTGGTAGTTACGTAAGAGAATTCATTTCCCTATTTTTTTCAGTGGGTGTCGTAAGAGATGTTCCTGTAATGGCTTCGATATAATTCAATATTCATTAGGACTCTTTTACTAAGAAGACATATGAGTCCGTCTAGGTCCAAACTATTACATATATAAAATGACTTCACATTTCAGGACATCTTAAGATTCTAGCTGGTGGCAGAAAATATACTGACCTGCTTACTTTTGCTCGCATTCCTGGGTAAGGGTGGCGGCTGTGGCGCCTCATCGCCAGACACGTAGTCGAGGGGCCGAGATTTGTATCTCTGGGGTGCTTCTTTCTCTATCACAGAAGCTTCCGGTAGCTTCCAAGAACTGCATTTAAGAAAACCTCAAAGCAAATTATTTTAATATCACATTCGTCTACACAGCTCTTATAAATTCGTGGTAAAGCCAAGCTGCAGCTACATTATGGCCTTTATGCTAAGAATACGAATGAGCTGTCTCAACTGGGGAAGTTATATCCCACCCCCACAAGTATGTAAGCCGTGGTGGCGTTATAAAACATCCAATAATATTGCTCTCTATATAAATTAATGAGTCATAGAGCTACGCTGCAGCTATATTATGGTTTTAGCACGAATGGGTCGGTCTCGACCGGGAAGGACCACGTCCTCACTTAATACCAACGTACGAGTATAAGAACCGGAGACCCTTTTCATTAGTAACGAGGCATTCCATCGGTGTTTTAATTCTAAATAGAGGAATGATTTAGATGTCTATGAGCTAAAGCATCCACTTACCATCAGACGGACTGTGTGCTTATTCTTCGTCCTTACTTATATATAAAAAATTCAATATGGTCATACTGTTGCAGTTTCGAAAATTATGACGTATTGTGGCGACTAAAAGAATCTATCCCCATTTCCTATCGACTAAGCGACTACGAAAAAAAATAGAAAAACCTTATGAGCACATAATACACCATCTCGTATATGCCAAATATATAACACCCTCTATACGTGTTAGAGCCACGCTGTACCTATTATATGGTTGTAACATGAATGGGTCATCTCGACCGGGGAAGGACCACGCTCTTACAGAATACCAGCGTAAAATAGCAGCTTAATGCAGCTGTGTTTCAGTTCCGCACTAATCTGTGAGTGTAAAGAACTAGAGACCCGTTTTACTGGAATCGAGGCATTCCATCTTAGTCTTCAAGTGTGACAATGCATCTGCATTTTGATTTTTAATCGAGGTTAAATGTAGATGTCTATGGGCCACAGCATTTTTACCGGAATCTATGCATTCCATCTTAGTCTTCAAGTGTGATAATTCATCTGCATTTTGATTTTTAATTGAGGTTAAATGTAGATGTCTATGAGCCACATCATTTTTACTGGAATCGAGGCATTCCACTTCAAGTGTGACAATGCATCTGCATTTTGATTTTTAATCGAGGTTAAATGTAGATGTCTATGGGCCACAGCATTTTTACTGGAATCGAGACATTCCACTTCAAGTGTGACAATGCATCTGAATTTTGATTTTTAATCTAGGTTAAATGTAGATGTCTATGGGCCACAGCATTTTTACTGGAATTGAGGTATTCTATCTTAGTCTTCAAGTGTGACAACGCATCCGCATTTTGATTTTTAATCGAGGTTAAATGTAGATGTCTATGGGCCACAGCATTTTTACTGGAATTGAGGCATTCTATCTTAGTCTTCAAGTGTGACAATGCATCTGCATTTTGATTTTTAATCGAGGTTAAATGTAGATGTCTATGAGCCACAGCATTTTTACTGGAATCGAGGCATTCCATCTTAGTCTTCAAGTGTGACAATGCATCTGCATTTTGATTTTTAATCGAGGTTAAATGTAGATGTCTATGGGCCGCAGCAACCACTTACTATCAGGTGGACTGTGTGCTCGTTTCTCACCCTTGTCACCCTTATCCTAAGCGTTCGCTACGCTAGCGTAAGCGTGACGACTAAGACAAGCCTTCCTTACAATAGGAGAGGTCCCATATTCAGCAGTAGACTAACACGGACTTATAAAGAAGTTTAAACGAGTAGAATATACATATTAATACTTTTATTTGTAATGTATGACCTCATTTTTATGTGTAGTGTAAAAGGAACTTTTATAGTCCACCCGATGGTAAGTGGCTTCTGGAATTCATTCACAGATGCAGTCATCTTGAAAGAAAGAAGGCTACGTGTACGTTATCACCGTTAAGGACTAAGATGAAATGCTTTACATTCTGTAACTATTTTCAATCTCTATACCCTTCGGGACACAGAAATGGAAACACTGCTATTTGGCGACAGAAATAGTAAAGGTAGTGTGGTGACCTTTCTACCAAAATATACTCCTAGAAAAAGAAATGTCATACCACCCAGTAAAAAATTAAATTCTATAGCCTACAGCAAATTTTACGTAAGTCTATTTGAGCTAGATGTGACAATATTGAGATTTAAAACTTGAGTACGATTTCTCATTTTTTTTTTTTTTTTGGTATGGATGAGAAGCGAGCGCACAGTACAACTGATGGTAAGGAAGTGTGGCCGTAAGTGGATGCTAAGGCCCTTAGATATCTTTTTTTAAATTACCTTTATTCATATAAAACACACATTTACAGTAATAATAATCATCACCAAACTGCGCAACTGTTGCCGGTAATGGCGCTTTTTTTCTTTTACATTTATATATATTATGTTACATATTTATCTCAGGTATTATATAACAATAAATGTTTCTTTCTTTGATTAATACTTATTGTAGGTAGCACATTATATTTTCTTTTGCACATCATCATCATTGCTTTTGCGTAATCTACATTTAACCTTGATTTAGTGTCAGAATGCAGATGCATTGTCACCCCTGAGGACATAGGTGGAATGCGTCATTTCCAGTAAAAATTTCACTCACCATACGAAACACAGCAGCATTAAACCGACCCATTCCTACAAACATTCTATGGCTCCACCACGTATAAAATGTGTTTTCATGTAAACATAATATGTACATTTTTTGTCAACTTGGAGATCCTTAAAATAAATGTAATAAATACAAATTCCTCGACACTTCTGCTTGTTAGTACAAAAAAGATAAATGATCGTGAACACGTGTTTTCGCTCTCGGGTGCCCTGTTTGTGCGGGGGCCTGTCCGGCGATGCGTCAGTCATTCTACCTCGTTTATTATTTACGTTATCGCAGTAATCTTGGTTCACGTCGACCCTTTTGTAAATTATTAATAAGGGCAACACCGAAATCTTATAAATGTTTACATTATTAATAATTATTGCTTATATAATGTTTTTTTTTTATATGTTTACGCGAATACTACTCGTGGAACGTGTTTAACTGGAAAAAATGGTTTTATTTCCAACTATAATTTTTTTTTAATTTTAAATAATATTGAGAAACAGTTTCTTCGTAATGTAATTTAATACGTGATTTAAATACGTAATTTTATTAATTGTAGAGCCATGCTGCAGCTTTAATATGGTTGTACGAATGGAGCGGCTGTACCGGGGAAGAACCACGCTCTTACAGAATACCAGCGTAAAATATCAGGTAAATGCCGCTTTATTTCATATGGTGAGAATAAAAAACTGGAGACCCTTTTTTTACTGGAAACGAGGTATTCCATCTTTGTCCTCAGGAGTGACAACGCATCTGCATTATGATCCTTAATCGAGTATAGACGTAGATGTCTATGGGCTATTCACTTACCATCAGGTGGACTGTGAGCTCGTTTGCCATCCTTATCATATTAAAAAAATATAAATGTAATGTTGCAGCACATCTACTTCTTGCAGCTGGGCACATGTCTTTCATTTTTAAGGGTTATAGAGTATTTAGACTGCCGCAGCCAAAAAACTAAGACAATGGATTTTGAAAATATAAACAAACTGCGAATTATTTCATCTTAGTTCAGTTGACCATAGTAGCATAAAAGTCTGTATAAAAAGTAAAGTAAAGTTACAGCCTATATACGTCCCACTGCTGGGCTCAGGCCTCCCCTCATTTCTGAGAGGGTTTTAGGGCAAGGAAGTGTCCGCCGCGCTGCCCAAATGCGTGTTGACGAACTTCACATGTCTTCGAAATATTTTTTTTCTTATTCCTCAGACATGCAGGTTTCCTCACGATGTTTTCCTTCACCGCCGAGCACGTGGTAAATCAGCACTTAAAATTGCAATTAACAATTTCATTGGTGCCGGCGGGGATCGAACCCGGGTTACTCGCGTTCTGTTATATTTACAGCGAGCGTTAACCACTGAGCCACCACGGCTCTAAAGTCTGTATACCATCATTAATATATATTCTTAGTATAGATACTAAGTATAGATACTTACTTTGTGCTAACCTACGTGGCATGCGAGCATTCTACCATTGAACTGGAGGGGAGATAACTGTGCCCGCCACTGCAGGATTATGTGTAGGAATATCCACTTCCCTACTTCATCTCGTGGGTGTCATAAGAGGCAAACCAGGGAGACAAACCTGGAAACTGCGTGTGCAATGGGCAACAGTGTCTTCCTCATAACATCTAATAATTAAAAACTTCTGTAATGTTGGAGGTAGTTAAATGAGAAGGAGACGTGTTGTTCTGCCTACTTTTATTCTAAGCTGAACACTAATATCTTGGGGGCCACTCTACACTTCGGTCCCAACCAGCTTGCCAAGCGTTGCAACTATGGCAAAAATCCCTCCTAGGTGGCAGTCTATAAGAGAGGCCTTTGTTTAGCAGTGGAGTTTTTTGTTATGTCGCTCCAACAAATTTTTCTATAACTCACTAAGAAAAATCTCACGCAATACATCAATTGTTATAGCTTAAAACTACCAAAAGAAAACTTTCACAAGACAAATGTGAAGGAACTGTTTTGGTACTTACTTGGTAGCCCTCTCGCTACTTCTAGAACGAGCCGCTCGTGCCAGTCGGTGGAGAGCGAACAGTGCACCTTCGCTGGACTCTCCGAGAAACGAGCACAGTTCTTGTAGTATCTAAAACCAAAGCAATATTTTTAGCCGACATTAAAAAAGAAGGAAGTTTGCAATTCGACCGAATGTTTTTTCTACCTCTTTTTGATGTATGTTACGCGATATCTTGTCAATTGTAAACCGATTTTAATGATATTTTTTTTATTAAATAGGCTAGGGATGGTTTATACCTAAAGGTGGGAAAGGTAAAAGAATGGATAAAGACTTCACTGTGACTATTTAAACGACATTCAAATTTGTACCTTAAATGGTAAAAATTTATAATCGTTTGGCAGGAGTTGGAAGTAAGAGGGAGTGGGGAGAAGGGGGGGAGGGGAGTCTTCCCTACACCTCGATACCACTCCCGTGAAAAGGTAATGTACCGTTCTTAAGAAAAATTAAAAAGGAAATTCCATACACCTAGCCTCAACAGTTATCTCTCTCCGGCAAGATGGGGGAGGGGAAGCAGGGGATTCTTATCACAACTGTAAGAACTTCTTGGTGCTTAAGTATTTCTGGGCGGTAAAAAAATTACCACGAAGGCTGTGGCGAGAGCTGCATTGCGCTTCGCTCCCGCTACAAACTTCTTACCTAACTGAACTGAAAAGATTTCTGGATGTAAAGTATGTAATTTGACGTTGTTTTGACGGCTCCGTGGCGCAGTGACTTAGCATTGAGTGCCTGCGCCGGGGACCGCGGGTTCAAATCCCGCACGGAACAAGTATTTGTATGTTCTACAAATAATTGTTCCGGGTCTGGATGTGTGTCCTTGTTCAATTTATGTTTGTAAACTGCCTCTGCGATATTCTAGTGTTGTAACGTTTTTAAAAAAAATATCATTCCTTTATTGCTTGTAAACATAATTTATTATGAGAGTAGAAGAATAATCATTCCATATAGTTCTTACATCTTTGTCGAACTTAGGTAAAGTTATGTATGCTATCCACAGTAATATTGCATTTATTTGTCCATGTTTTACCTATTTTTAGGTTATAACATTTTAATACAAATGGTATTCAGAGATATTCGGAGATCAAACCTCTACCGAAATCAACACCTTACTTCTCCGAATTCCTGCCAAACGATTCTAAATCTAACTTCCTTCTAATTTTTTTGTTATTTATTTATTTGTTTACCACTTACAACTATCATCACAGGTGTATTACACATACAATATTGCAGTTACAAACTTAGAAACTAGAACAAACTAGGTATATTATGCACCACTTAAAGATATTTTACAATAAGATTTGTAATATTCTTTTGTTCAAACAGAGAGGTAGAATACTTAAACATTAAAAAAGAGACTTAAAAAAAATAAAAAGAGACTTCATTAAGGAATAAATTAATTCCCACAAAAACTTACGAGATCAGGGCTTTCATTGATCTAAACATAAGGCAGTTTTATTTTCGAAGTAGGTTTTGACTTTTCCATTTTCAGTTATTTTTAATAATGAATACTTATGTGTTCAATTATACGTCAAATGAAATTGGTTTGGAAGCACAGACCTCGTATACTAAGTGCTAGTAAGTGATATTATAATTTCTTTCAAGATTTCTTCAGTTGCTTGTTGTGACCAGGACGTAAGCACGATTAATATGCAAAAGTTAGAAGTTGGGAGATAAGAAATGAGAGAGTTGTCTATGGATAATGTGTTCGAGGATTTTGATATGGTATATATAGTATGGGGTGAAAGAGGGATAGAAAAAATGTTTTAGGATCCTTAGGTTGTCAAAGACATATCTACATAGTATGAGGGCCTGCGCTCACTGACGACACGGGATGGCATAGCGTGTCAAAGGATTTTTTTCGTGGAAAAAAGATTTTAGCACTAACATTTCTTTATTTCAACACAAATAGACTTAAACATCCCGTGAGACCTCGGCATGCTGCTGCCCGTCCTGGTATTCAACGGAATGCCGCTGTACCACGTGAAACGCATAGATATACTTACTTTTTTATGTTGTCAAAGGAATGTGGTTGATAAATAATTAAAAGAAGATTGAATCTAGCCCGTTGCGGCGGCAAATTCAGCAACTCGCTCATGCGCTCGGTACAGAAGCGCGTCTTGACTTGTTCGACATGCCGCTGTATATACAGGATCCTCTTTTATAGGATAGGGTGACAAACGAGCACACCGTCCATCTGATGGTAAGTGGTTACTGCGGCAAAATGACGTGTACATCCGTCTTCGATTACGAATCAAAATGCAGATGCGTTGCCACCCGTGACGACTATGATGGAATGCCTCGTTTCCAGTAAAAAGGGTCTCCGGTTCTCTACAGTCACCATACGAAACACAGCAGCGTTAAGCTGCTATTTTACGCTGGTATTCTGTGAGCGCGTGGTCCTTCCCCGGTCGAGACGACCCATTCGTGCTACAACTATACTAGTAATATAGCTGCAGCATGGCTCTCTAACACATATAAAAGTAGTTTAAAAGATCACTTTATTTACAATTTTCAAGACCGCTAAACAGCAATTACAATACAATAAAATGTCAAGGAGGACTAAAAGTTATTTAAAGTCGATATAAATTTTCGGGAGTTCGCGCTACAAAATGTATTAAAAAGTTGTTTTCTTTAAAAACCAGTCTGAGGCAAAATTTTGAATATGGACCCTACTTTTCTAAACACTGAGCACTTTAAGAACCGGCCAGTAACATATTCAAATGATTAAAAGCTTTTTCGTATTATATTTTTTCAGACAGAATAATATAAACACCGCTCGTTTTTGAAGTGAAAACTTCTTTAGCGGCGTTGTACACTTTTTGTAATGGGTAAAAATAGTAAGCTCGCGTCAGGACACGTGACCCTGATCGAAAATTCGTAAGACGGATGGAGAGAAAGAGAGAAGTATCCCCCTCTCTTTCTACGGTGCGGCGAAAATGTATGCCTGCGCCTGCTGTTTCGTTTAGGCGGCACAGAGTGCTTGCGCGAATGTTCGTGTGTGATAATTAAAACAATTCGTGCAAAATTATTCCCTAATCATTCCAAAATATCAAAAGTGCACAACGTTAATATTCAAGTTTTCTCATCTGCCGGCACTCCCGGAGTGTAACCCGTCATTTTTTTACAAATGAGTGTATATAAAACAGACATATAACATACAAAATATAAAATAAACACTTTTTTTTTGCCTTTATGCTGTAACGGTATGTGGCAGCTGTCAGGTAGCAGGTGACAGATACAAATAGGATAACTTACCGTGAAGCGCGCGCGCTGCAGCAGCGCCGGCACCAGGTCGGCTAGCGCCAGGTGCAGGGCGCCGCCGCCGCGCGCCGCTAGTGTGCTCAACGGCGCGCAGTGCCCCAGCACCCACTCGTCACACCACGACCACGCTACATCCTCGGCGTCAGATGTGCCCGACTCTTCCACTATCAACAGTTTTTCATACAACTAAAGTAACGAACGTAGTTACAGTCCAGTTTAATGGTAGTGGCTACTGCAGTCCTTAGCACCTACAGCCAACTTCAAACAAAAAAAACATTCGTAGTTTACTACGAATGGTTTTTTTTAATACTAAAGTGACACACGGCCTCACAGTCCAATTTAATGGTAAGTGGACATATAATCTATCGACATCTGCAGCAAACTTCAAACAGAAAGAGAAAGAAAGCTACAAACACGTTGTCACCTCTGAATACTCTCTATACTCCACAACAGTGCAAGTACTGCTCCTTTACTTCAGAAAGAGTTGAAGAGTGTGGTACCCAGACAGATCCCAAATTAGAAACAGAGATCCTACAACTTTGTGAAAAGAATTTAAACGCCTATAAAACACTGCACATTTCAAATTGATTAATCTCACCGATTTTACCCTTAAACATTAGGTAACACCACTAGAGAATTCTCTATCCCATATTATAACACCATCATTCCCTTCACAAGTCCACTGCAGAACATAAGCCTCCCCCAAGGAATGCCACAAAGTGCGGTCCTGAGCCACCTGCATCCATCGACTTCCTGCACGTGTTGCCAGGCCGTCCCTCCATCTAGTGGGGGATCATGAGCAACGACACAAATATCGTACCATATACACCGTAAAAGGCGACATAAAATGAAACAAATGAACAGTAAGTTCCTGATAATTAACACAAAATTGTAAAAACTGCAATTACCAACCCGCTCTAGCATAGACACTACAGCAAATATCCTTTGAGGTAATGTGAAGAGATCTATGTTCGGCAGTGGACTTTCAAAAAGCTGAAATAAAGGAATAAATGAATATATTCGTTAATGCATGTGATTGGTGACAGCGAAAGAGAATCCATCATCATAGAAGACAAAAAAAACGTTTTTGTATATCCCACGGCTGAGCTCTGGACGCCTTTCAATACTTAAATGCCAATTAAGGCCAAACGAGTGTCTACCGTGCTGCCCCAATGCGTGTTGGTCTTCACAGGTCTTCAAAATATTTTTCAATGTCTATAAATTGCCTCGCGATGTTTTACTTCACCACAAAACACGTTGTAAATCAGCACTTTAAGTTGCAATTAACAATTTCATTGTTGTGCTAGCATGTTTCGAACTTGGGTTTCCCGAATTTTACGGTGAGCGCTCAGCCCCTAAACTCCCAAGACTCCTGATGTTTGATAAACACTATTTTGATATTATTATATAGAATAAATACAGATCTTATTTTCATTTTCTCTCAAAATTTATCCAAAAGCATTAAATCATACCATCAGTGCAAGGATATAAGCCGCCAAGACAGTATGGCTATCTTTGCAATGGCATATCTTTGAAATGGCTGTATGAAATCCAAACAAATCTTTGTGTTGATGTAATGTGTATATTACTTACCATATAACGCATCCTTCACACTGTTTATAAAATCCAGTGTTTCCAAAATACTGGGTCTACTCATAGCCTCCTTATTCTTCACAGTAGACCCAGCGGACCTCGGCCGTCGCTTCAACTCCTTAATATTTTCAACTGGTTCTGTATACACTAAATTCCTTAAAGTATGGTATTTTCTTCTTAATGTCTTCGTATCCGATTGGTCTATAATAGTAATTTCGGGAAATCCATAGGACGTTGGAGGTCTATTCCTTCTTGATCTTCTGACAACCCTAGGGATATTGTCAAGAGATGACGCGTCTTGGTGGGAGTTGACCGGGATGATGTCCGGCTTAGTATTGTTTCTCCAGAAATTTCCAGATTTGACACTCTTAAGGATTTCTTCTGAACTCTCATGGCGTCCGATGTGTCTACCATTTAGATTATAAACAAAAGAAATTAAGTTATAGTTTTTTTTATAGAACAAGGATGAAAGGCGAACACAGTCTTCTTGATTGTAAGTGGATGATGTGGATCTATCCTCAACTAAGAATCCAAATGCAGATCCTCTTTGCCCCCTCAGAAGTAAGATGAAATGCCTCGTTTTCAGTAAAAATGGTTTTCGGATTCCCTATAATCACCATAAGAAACACAGCAGCATTAAGCTGCTGCTGTATTCTGTGAGAGCGTGATCACTTCCCGGTCGAGCCGACCTTTCGTGCTATATGTGCTATGGGCCACAAGAACCACTTACTATCAGGTGGACTGTGTGCTCGTTTGTCACCCCATCCTATAAAAAAATACCTAACTAAAAATATTTGACATCATTTCTTATCTTAAATATTTAAACCCTTAATAAAATATGCTAACATAAATACTTAATGGCGCAACATAGAAAAGATTTATCTTGCAACGTTGCTACCGTTATTCCAGTTTTTATCATAAAAAGTAATTTATTTAAAGTAATCTCTGCTCGGAATTATTTATAAGGTGAGCGGCCGTCGACAGCGACATGATGAAAATCTTTCTATATTATTAAGGTGTCAATAAAATAGATTAGATGACCTTTAAAGTGGATATTCTTAAACCACTACTACACAACTATGTTTTTTTTAAATAAGGGTGATAAAAGAACACACAACCCACCCGGTCGTAAGTGGATATTGTTTTTACGTGGTAGAAACTACCATTAGAAACTACCACTGCAAGACTTCAAGACACAGTCAGTTCATTTTGCATAGATCGGACCATATGAACAATAATTTAAAAAGTTGAAAGTATTCCGGTTTTAACAGTGACATCGGGACGTCAGTCATCTCAGTCCCCCATGGGTGCTGGAAAGAACCCGAAACGTCGGAAATTAAAAATAATTAAAATTAAACGCGATAAAATCCGTAAAAGTAGTTTTAATCAAAGAAACTCGTGGTAAAAATACAGCCATCAGCTGGTAAGTAAAGGTTCGAACCCTATATCAACAAATCCACCAATCAACCAAGAATCATACATCAACTTACCTTCTGTCTCCAACGAGCGCCGAATTGAAGGCCCCAAGCACACATCTCGTGGCCAGCCTGATCTTAGCCTCAGCCTTGTCCCTCCTGCTTAACGTGAGGATGCGAGCTGAACTGTGTTCCCGACGGGAAGGCAGCTTCGCAGCGTACGAGACCGCAAGTCCTTCGCCAGTGGGGAACACCAGACGAAACTCTAAAAGGTTTTTTTTAACGATCATCATTACAGCCATAAACCACTTCTGAACATAGGCCTCCTTCACAGATAACCTTATAGTTGGGGGTAAAATATATTTTTTTATTAAAGAAAAGATTAAACTCACCAGGATTTTCTCTTGTACTATGGAGACAGTTAATATACATAAATTTCACATGGACGAAGATCCAGACCCAGAACAATTACTCGTAAACCATAAAATATTTTTTCTGCTTGAGATTCGAACCCGCGGCCCTCAACGACGTATCAAATTGCTAAGCAAATGTGCCACATAACCGTGCAAGACATGATTTGTCTAAGTATATGTGCAAGTGCAGGTGCGCTCTCCACTACCTCACTTTCATAATTCGATGGGACGGCAATCCAACATGACTGGAGAGAGATCAGGCGCAGAACCAACTGCTTGACATGTTTTCCGAGGCATGAGGCTTCCTGACTCAAGCCTAATAAGAATTTCTTAACAGAAAACCCATATAAGTGATTTTAGCCCGACCGCGTTTATTAACATAAAATCAACGGGGCAGTCACCGACTGTCTGTCGACAGCGACGTTGGCACTTAAACAAATTTAAAAAAAAAGACATGTTAAGTTCGTCAATTGGAGCAACGAGGCGAGGAGGTACAGTCGTAGGTTCGTAGGGTCGTAGGTAAGGTCGTAGGTTCTATAATCAAATACCTATATAGAAGGGTTTTTTATTCAATATAGATAACAAAAATACTTATTGAAAGTCGTTTAAGCTTTACCACTGGTTTGGAAAAACTTCGGTCCTGGGAAGAAACCCAGCGGGATTTTTTTTAAATATACAATATAATAATATATACAATTAAGTATGAAAACATTTAGAAAAAGCATGGTAGCTTTTTACAGATAAGTCCTACGTAAATCATATTATACTAGCGATCCACCCCGGCTTCGCATGGGTAATTTCTAGATCTCGACAACAGACACCTTCCAGGTCCAATAGTTAATCTAAACCATCCAGGGACCCTACCTACACAAACCTACACAAAAAAACGACTGGCTGCACTGCGGGAGTGCCGGAGGAAGTGAAAACTTGAATATCAACGTTGTGCATTTTTGATGTTTTGGAATGGTTAGGTAATAATTTTTCACGAATTGCTTTAATTATCAGTATAAAAGTACTATCATTTATGTGTAAAAAACAATTTTTATTTATTGCGCTATCGTATACAAACATGACAATTTATATTACATTCGCGCAAGCGCCCTGCGCCGCCTAAACGAAACAGCAGGCGCAGGCATACATTTTCGCCGCGCCATGAGAAGAGAGGGGGATACTTCCTCTGCTACTCCGTCCGTCTTACGCATTTTCGATCAGGTCACGTGTCCTGACGCGAGTTTAACATTTTTTAGCCATTACAAAAAAAAGTGTACAACACCGGTAAAGAAGTTTTCACTTCAAAAATTTCATTAAAATCATCACACGAACAGAAATATTATATTTATAAAAAGATATCCTAAGCTCTGTAATCTAAGCTGGAGCATGTATATAGACGTATATAGATTATTTAGTCTGTTCTCACTAATTCTCAGTTAAAACCAGTAGGAAACCTCTCTCCTGTCGTGACGGGTTACCTAGACATCGGACTCTGAGAGTGCGGGAATAAAGAGTGCAGCTTTGATTGCATATACACTTGGGCACTATGATCGTATCCTGCGCAGATGACTAGTCACCGTAAAGACGGGCCGCTGTAATCAAAATACGGTGTGAAAGCTATTAGTTGAAAGCTTTATCCACAGTTTTAAGACCATAAATTTGTGAAACGCTTTGATGTCAGCCGATGCCGATTCAAATTGCTGTAAAAGCAGTCTGTTTTTGTTAAGATAACCAAACAATACTCACCAATATGACGATATCTTTCCAAGAAATCGACCATGGCCTTTGCCCAGGTAAACTTCTTAGCAGCATCCAGCAGGCCCATGCACGGTTCAATCTCCCCATTATGGACTCCCATACAATATTCACCCAGACCTTCGTACTCCATTTCACATCTACTCGCATCGAAGTCCTCCAAAAACCAAGAATTCTCCATAGAAACGTTGAAAAGACCATCTAAATATGGTCGGAGAACTGGACCCAGGTACTTTTTGTCCTCTTTGGCTCCCTTGTGAAGCCACAGAAGAACGTTTTTCATCAAATTGGCCTCATCTTTTAGGTCTTCCCTCCTAAGTTCTGGGTCTCTTCGAACAGCGTCTATTAGGCACGCTGATGACGCGTCATAGTAGTCCTTTAGTTTGTTCCACTTTTTTGATCTTAAAGGAAAATCGTACATTATTCTTACAGTTTTATTTTAAATACGATTGAAGGACTATGTAATCCATTTTTATAATCAACTAACGACGTATCCTGGCTTCTCCTTGAAAGAATCTATTAAAGTGGCGTTATTAGTATCTAAAGTAATCAAAGACCATTTAAATTATCGTTTTTTTTAATCTTCAAGTTTTTCGAATAAATATTGATCATCATCCACATTGCTCCCTCGTAAAGTTTCATCACAATCTGTTTAACCATTCCAAAGATTGGCCCGGAAAGACAAGACAAGACAGACAGACATAATTTTTATTAATGGTTATTTATGTCTTCATCATTATCATCATTACTGCCCTTCACAAGTCCACAGCTGAACGTAGGCCTCCCCCAAGGAATGCTACAAAGCATGGTCCTGAGCCACCTGCATCCATCGACTTCCTGCATGTCTTACCAGGTCATCACTCCATCTAGTGGGGGGTCACCCTACACTTCCGAGAACCCCCCATCGGTTGTCGGTTCTTTGAGCTATGTGGCCGGCCCATTGCCACTTCAGTTTACTAATCCGTTGGGCTATGTCGGTTACTCTAGTTCTACTGCGGATATCCTCATTTCTAAGTTCATCACGCAGAGAAACCCCGAGCATAGCCCTCCCCATAGCTCGCTGAGCGACCTTGAGTATCCTCATACGGCCAGCAGTGAAGGACAACACTTAATAACGTGCAAATAACCCCCCAAGCTTAACTGATATACGTCTTTCAATATTACAGCCAGTCACTAAAAGTAATCCAATTTCAGAATTATGTGATGATAGAACAATCTGAATTACAGAGAGATGTTGTACTGTAGTCCAAGGATGAGGTCGACGGGGGAGGTTTTGATAGATTCAGGTGCTCGAGATCGTGCTCTGTGGTAACCTATGGGGTGAAGCGTAAGACTAATAAGGGACAGTAATGATGAAATGTTGGTGATAACGATGATCTATGTAACGGAATCTTTTAATGTAATTTTCATCAACCTGTAGACGGCCAATTGACTTTAAAATTTGCCTCGTATCAAACACCAATAACAATACAATAAATTAGTAACTATATCCTAGTATCCTGATCAGAATCACCAGGATAACATAAGACAATAATCAAGATCATCGCAGCTCATGATCAACGTGTATTGTTTCAGTTTTTATAAACTTGTCTAATATTGTTATTTTATTAGGCGTGTTAAATTCTCAAGTTAAGACACTCGTCTACGACTGGGTTACTAACCCATACTCCTGACCCAAAAAGGGGCCCTTCAACCTAGAACCATTTGTCATTGTAAGGATACCCGATGATTGCTGACGTTAAAACATATTTACCTGTAAACCGTCAGTTCTCTATCGAACTCCCCGACAGTTTTAGCTTGAAAATTATTTATGTATGCATCTCGGGCTTGGTCCAGCGCTATAGCGAGGATGTGGATGAGATCTTCAATAGGCTCCAACTGTTCAGTGATGGCTTGTATGAGATTTGCCCGAAAGGTGCTTTGGTCCTCCTGAAATAAAACATAAACAATCACGCCTGTCATCCAGAGGGGTAGGCAGAGACTACAGATTCTATTTGACACGATCCTGACAAACCTCTCTCGCCTCCTCCACATCCATATACCTACGCATACATGCTTGTCGGTTAAGGGTACTCTTAATTTGCCCCATTTTACATATATCACCAATTCGGTCGATAAACATAAATTTGCTTGTCACACTTTTCTCCTTCATTCTTTCTATGTGACCAAACAACCCAAGCATTACTTTCTTAATCCTGGTCACAATCTTTTAATTATCTTGCAAACCACACTCTTCTCTTATCACACAACTTCTCACCCTGTAACTCAGATTCAGCCCGAACATATTCCTTAACGACCGCATTTCTACTGCGTTTATTCTACTCTCGTGTTCCTTCTGCCATACCCAACTTTAACTACTATAAGTTAAGTTGATACCTCAAAAATTTGGTAGTTTTTCTATTTGACATATTTTTTAAAGTTTTATAGATTACAAATCAAAATTTGGTGTATGATTTTTGACTATGTGATCTTGGATTGCATAAAAGGAAAACACGATATCATGTAATTTTCTCGATAGAAAAAAATTGCAAAGTAGACTCTAATTATTTAAGATTCTCGATGACACCACAATATTCTTACGAATAATTTCATTGAATTATTTTTAAGGCATAGTAAATAATCATATCTAAATTCTCATAAACCAGTTTTTTAATACATAACGAAGTTTTGTTAAAATAAATAAAAACGTTGTTTGGCGCTTACTTAGTTCTTTTCCGGGTGCTTGCTCGGTATGGCTATCTCATACTTTGCGTACTATGAAGTCATTGCATCACTTTCATTTTGACACTCCCGCAGTCGTCCGTTAGCTTCACCGACAAAGGAATAAGCCACGGCCCCAAAACTTCGATTCATTTTCAAGGTATCCTCGTACGTATACGTGCCTTTTTTGACATATTCTGACTTTCCACAACAGAGTATAGAGCCCCATTTACTTTATTTCCAGCGTTCACTTGTCGTTCTACACCCTTATCATGTCTCCCATCCCTGCTGAATACACATCCCTAATATACAAATTTATCTACTTGCACGACCAACTCCCCTTCTAATCTTATTTCACATATTGTTTCCCTTTCTTCTCTTGGTCACAACATCATCTTGCAAACCACACTCTTCTCTTATCACACAATTTCTCACCCTGTCACTCGTACTATGTCTAACATATTCCTTAACGACCTTACCTTAACCTCCTTAACAAGTTCGAACTATGTGTTTACAACAGTAACAATTTAATCTTATAAAATATATAATATTTTTAATTAATAGCTCCACTATAAATGCATATCTTCATCACCACGACGCAGCAGAAACCTAAGCACATCTTTCTCTATATCTCATTGAATTTTAAAACTAAATGTAAGCTAGCCCAAAACCGAAGTGTAGACATTCATAATTCATTGGAGGAAATGTGGCCTGCGTTTGCCACTATAACCCGGAAAGATGATTTTATATTTTCTATCTTCAGATCAAAATTATTTATATGTTAAAAAATTATAAATTAAAGTTTTCTTAAATTTATGCGAACACACATTGAGTAAAACCACTCATACGGATTTTTTTGCGTTTCATTATCATATTTTTAATTCTTTTTGTGGTGGTTTGGTAAAATTCGCCAATGACGTATTAAGTGACAAATGAAAGTTTATGAGTTTATTTAAATTAAGAGTCTGTAATAATACAAGGATTTAGTTTTCCTTCTAGAATTTTGACAAATCTATCTGTTAAATTACCTAGAACAAATATGACAAACACAGGTGTTAGAATCTTGTTAGTAGGTTAAAAGTGACAAGGATTTAAAGTTTCATGTTATTAGTATTAATAAAATCACATAAAATATACACAAAAGGAGTACATGTATATGTGAAAAGAGAATTAAAATCTATAGGTTGAAGAATATAGGGAGGAAAGCAAAAAAGGAAGAGGATAATTTGGGATAGTTGAAAAAATATGGTTTATGGAACCTTCATCTAAACCACATTCACACAATGAGCTATCCCTAACTCTGATTTTTGCCAGATGTAAATATATACAAGCATGTCCAATTCTCAATCTACAGATGATTGAAGTTGCATGTTTATTTGCTTTGTAAATTTACAAAATTCTTGGATCTTAGATGGCAGCATAGTGCTTACCCTTATCATTTATTGGACACTTCCCACAATTTATTCCAATTTTCATTCGGTTTCCTTTTAGCTAGCAAAATTAGGTCATGTAAGTAAATTGAATTTTGTAGGATGCCATTAGCAATTGCATTTTTGCGAGTACTCCCGACGTTTCGGGTGCTTTACAGCAGCCATGGTCACGGGGGGGGGGGACTGAGATGTCTGACGTCCCAATGTCATAGTTAGCCCGGCTACCTTCAGTTTTCTAATATTATTATTTATATTATTCATGTCGTAATGGCATGCGCCCCGTAATAATCAGCTCATAAATCAGTAATTTCGATATAACAGACAAAAACTATAATTTTATAAATATCATATCTTATACGATACGGTTATTTTATTAGTAATTATATAAATCCAAAGAAAATATAAAAATGTGCACTTTTCTATATCAGTTCAATTTTGTTACAGGTTTAGGTACACACACACACACACGCACGTTAAAAATATTTGCATATGTGACTCTATGTGTTTTGCCATGAGGAACTTACATAAACCAGTAATTTCTTATAGTTGAGGAGTTCTCTCGCCACTCGGCACAAGTAGCGCAGTTGTCGCTTGCTGTAGCTGTGCGATGTGAGCGAACCCTTCGACTCTTTGTTCAGCCTCTCCCAACGGCAGAATAGAGCTGTTTCCAGTGACTCTGAAGGTGTTGGAGGGATGGCTTCGTTACCTTATAAAAAACATAGAGTTAAACGTAGAGTCGTTTTATGTACATGAATTTTACGTGGTGCTGTGTTGTCCATGAACGAGACTGCTAGACCGGGGCAGGACCACGCCCTCACAGAGAACCGAAGACCCTTTTTACTGGATACGAGCACAGAATAAATAATATTACTTCGTACAGAAGTTGCTCTCCTTTGATGTTGACTGCTTGCCAATGTTTTAATAGTCTACATAATTATTATTGACTAATAATAATAAATAATGAATCCAAACATACTTTACACAGAAACAAAAAACTCAAAAAATTACATTGACAAGACGTAATCTAACTCAATACTATTTTATCTTTAGCAACTGTGCTAGGTCACAGACCTGTATTACAGCTGCTAAGCCCTCCCCATTAAATATGTACTAAATAGAAAAACAAAAACATAAAACAATTTTACCGCAATCAAGAAATTAATAAAAGTGGGAAGAAGTGAAATAATTAGCTATGTGCTATGTTCTAATCCGACAAATGGCTCAATACTATTATAGCTAAATGTTTACTTGTATGGTACAAGAGTAAGGCAAGAGAGATATTCTATAAATGTGACACACATATTAATATTCAAATGTTATAGTAAACGTTTAAAAGAACTTATTCTATATTCCACATAAAAAATAATTTAAACGTAGTGAGTAGTGACTAAGTTAATATTTTATTTTCTAAAAACAGTAATATATAATATGCAAAATGTTCATTTATTATTGGAGATTTGTTAATCATAACCAATATTACAAGTTTAGAACTAAGTGTAAAATTAATACGTAGATGCTTGTGTGTAGAATATGAGTGTGTAGTGTATGTGTATTTGTATGTAATTACGTGTGTGTTTGTGTATTTGTGTGTTTGTGTATTTGTGTGTTTGTGTGTTTGTTTGTTTGTGTGCGTGTGTGCGTGTGTGCGTGTGTGCCTGTGTGTGTGTGTGTGTGTGTGTGTATGTGTGTGTGTGCGTGTGTGTGTGTGTGTGTGTGTGTGTGTGTGTGTGTGTGTGTGTGTGTGTGTGTGTGTGTGTGTGTGTGTGTGTGTGTGTGTGTGTGTGTGTGTGTGTATTTTGCTAAACACTTTGCATTTTTTACCTATCTATATTTAATAATTTCTCAGTTTCCTCATAAGATAAAGACATTGAAAACTTAGAGCTTGCTTACGTTTAAAACCTGTTAGTGGATATATCGTTATAATATTGCTAATTTTTTTATAAAGATAAGGTCCCAAGAAGTTTATTTGTCTTTGAGCATAGAATGTGTAAAATTTATTTGGTAATGCACTCACATGCACTCCCCTTGTTGCCTCAGCCAGTATCGGAATCCTGGGCGTCGACATATCGAGTGACGTGCAGTTTCGTGGTCACTTGGAAAGGAAGGCCAAATTGGCCTCTAAAAAGCTTGGCGTGCTCAGCAGAGCGGGACAGTATTTCATGCCGGCACTCCGCCTGCAACTTTATAAGGCGCAGGTTCGGCCGCACATGGAATACTGTTCCCATCTCTGGGCTGGGGCTTCCCCAGTACCAGCATCTTCCACTTGACCGCATCCAGCGCAGAGCGGCTCGAATCGTCGACGACTGAGTGCTTTCCGATCGGCTCGATTCACTGGCGCTGCGAAGAGATGTTGCATCTCTTTGCGTATTTTATCGCATCTATCACGGGGAGTGCTCTGAGGAATTGTTCGGATTAATCCCAGCCGCCAAATTTCGTGAACGCACTACACGTCAAACGTCCCGATACCATCCACACCATCTGGATGCTTGGCGGTCCACCACTGTACGTTTCACAAGGAGTTTTTTTCCACGTACAACCTCTCTGTTGAATAGTTTACCACCGGCGATTTTTCCGGACCGATACGACCTGGGGACCTTCAAGAAAAGAGCTTACTCCTTTCTAAAGGGCCGGCAACGCACCCGCAATTCTCCTGGTGTTACGGTTGATCATGGGCGGTGGTAGTCACTTAACATCAGGTGAGCCACATGCTCGTTTGCCCCTTCTTCTATAAAAAAAATTATTTGGTAGTATAATTTGATCTTTCCTTCTTAATTTTTGAAATAAATTTAAGTCACAGTTATTGTACTTATGTGTTTTAAATACAGAACAGAAGTGATTTTAAAATAAATAGCTGTCGGACTGTCAGCACATTTACTTCAGAGAACAAATTACTTGTTCGAAACTTAAAAAGTTTAGAAAGCATAACTTTTAGCACAGCTCTTTGAGATCTTTCAATGCGCAAAATATAAGTTTTGTAAGTGCCTCCCCAAGCAGTAATACAGTACGATAATAAAGAATGGCAGAGAGCATTATATATGATTTTGAGTAGTTCAATTGGAATAAGTCTTAAACGTTTAAAAACTGGTATAAGTTTTATAATGGTACTTTTTAATTTGTTAATATGCTCTTGCCAATTTAGAAGGTAATTAATTAACAGTTACACATAAGTATTTAATAGATTCAACTCTCTATGGTCTGACAGTTATATAAAAGTGAAGAAGAGGTATCACACATATGTGCTTTCAGAGAATAAGAGTCAATTTCATGTTGACCTATCGAAGATTTCACAAAAGTAAGGTACTTTGTCTTATCAATGTTCAAGGTTAGCAAATTTATTCTCAACCAAGACATAACCTTATCGAGACCAATCTGTGCTAAACCAATGCATTCATGCCAGGAGGGTGCATGAAACAGTAAAACAGTGTCATCAGCGTAGGCAACGATTTTACAGCTGCACATTTTAAGCCCATTTTAGATGATTCACATATATGAGGAACAAGGTAGGGCCAAGTACTACCTTGAGGTACGCCATAATTAATATTGGTATTTTCACTGCTTAAGCTTCCAATTCTTACAAATTGAGATCTATTTGATAGATAACTTGTGAACAACTTCAGAGATATACCCCTGATACCTAGTTTTTTCATCTTTGCTAATAGTATCGAGACAGAGACGGTATCGAATGCCTTTGCGAGGTCCAGGAAAATTCCTGTACATTTATTATTACTGTAAACATGTCTTACAATGAACTCTGTTAGAGATAAAACTGCGTCTTCAGTAGATTTTCCATTTACAAAACCAAATTAATTTTCAGAAATTAAGTTATATTTAGAAAAATATGATTTTAAACGATTATTTAATAAACGTTCTAAAACTTTAGATAGTGCTGGCAGAATAGAAATAGGTTAAGCACTAGGTTAGAAATGCCATCGTAGCCTGGTGCAGAATTATATTTAAGATTATTCAATAAATATTCAACTTCCAGTGGATCGGTGGGTCTCATGCACAAAGATTGAGATTGATTTATTAAATTTGAGTCCGCTGTGGATGACTTATTAGTTACGTAATTTATTGAAATTTTGTCTGCTACTTTCTTTCCAATGTTGGCAAAATAACTAGATAAATCGCGCACGTAAGCTAAATTAAACTTTATCTGCCGTGTAGTGGCGGTTAAGAATATCCACTACCCCATATCTTCCCGTGGGTGTCGTAAGAGGCGACAGAGGGAAACAGGCAGGAGATGGGCAGCAGCATCTTCCTGATAACAGCAACTGTACGACAAAAAAAACTGCGGTTGCCAACCCGCTCGCCAAGCGTGGCAACTATGGCAATATACCCCCCCATGAACAATTACACAAATAGACGGCCCCCAGTCCCCCGGCGGCCCCGCTATTCCTGGCTACGGTGGCGACCATGGTAACGGCGGGGCAGGGGGTGCTAAGAATCTCCGGTGGAGGTTCGGTTGCCACCTACGACGACTCGACCTGGCAACATTTAACACACGCACACTGATGACTGACGAGAAGATCCTGGAGCTGGAAGAAGAGATAGACAAGTTGCGCTGGAGTATTATAGGATTATCCGAGGTCCGAAGAGAGGGGGAGGACACGGTGATTCTCGAATCCGGCAACTTGTTCTATCACCGGGAGGGCGACCATCTGTCCCAAGGAGGTGTCAGATTTATCGTCCACAAGTCTCTCGTCAACAACGTTGTAAAGATTGGGAGTATGTCGAGGAGGGTCGCGTACCTGATACTCAGAATTACCAAACGGTATTCGCTGAAGGTCATACAGGTTTACGCACCAACCTCGGCACATTCCGATGAGGAGGTGGAGGAAATGTATGAGGATATTTCCAAAGTCGTGTATTCCTCCAAAACCCACTACACGGTGTTGATGGGAGACTTCAACACAAAACTAGGCACAAGAGAAAACGGTGAGCTGAAGTTAGGTAAATTTGGAGTAGGGCAACGGAACCGAAGAGGCCAGCAGCTGGCCGACTTTATAGAGAAAGAGGGACTCTTTATAATGAACTCTTTCTTCCAGAAGCGGCCTCACAGGAAGTGGACCTGGTCGAGGCCCGACGGTTCGACAAAAAATGAGATTGACTTCATTATGACGACCAGACGCCAACTGTTCAGTGATGTCTCAGTTATCGCAAGGGTGAAAACTGGCAGCGATCACCGAATGGTTAGAGGCACACTGAACCTAAACGTTAAGTTGGAAAGGTCTCGTCTAATGAAGTCAACGCTCCGTCCCCCTCGTGCTCTAATCCAGAATCCCGAAAACTTTCAGCTCGAGTTACACAACCGCTTTCAGTGCCTACAAGATTGCAATGCAGTGGACGATATGAATGACAAGCTCGTGGAAACTGTCCATGCGGTCGGAGCTAAGTTCTGCAAGACCCGCCGCAGAAGAACACAAAAACTCTCCGATCACACTCTTAATCTCATGGCTGTTAGACGGGAGATGAGGCTGCAATCGTCAACAGATTTGACAGCATACAGGCAACTGAACAGACAGATCTCCAAATGCATGCGGCGAGACTTACGCAACTTTAATACTGCTCGTATTAAAGAAGCGATCGAGTGGAACCAGGGCTCCAAAGTCTTTGCCAGAGATCTGTCTGCCCGTAAGAGCCAACTGTCAAAGCTGAAGACTGAGTGTGGCAGCATCGTTTCCGGGACACCTGAGATTTTGAGTGAGATTGAGAGGTTCTATGGGCAGCTGTACACATCATCGTTGGAGCCACACGCAAGTGTGAGTAACGATCCAAGAGCAAGTCTTATCCGACACTATTCCGATGATATCCCGGACGTCAGTCTAAGCGAGATTAGAATGGCTCTCCAGCACCTTAAAAACGGCAGGGCCCCAGGAGAGGATGGAATTACAGCGGAGCTTCTGAAAGCAGGTGGAACACCGGTACTTGAAGTCCTTCAGAAGCTCTTCAATTCCGTCCTCCATGGTGGCACTACTCCAGAGGCGTGGAGCAGAAGTGCGGTGGTCTTGTTCTTTAAGAAAGGCGACAACGCTCTCTTGAAGAACTACAGACCGATTTCCCTTCTGAGCCGCGTCTACGTGCTGTTTTCGAGAGTCATTACGAATCGTCTCGCACGCAGACTCGACGACTTCCAGCCTCCCGTACAAGCCGGTTTCCGAAAAGGCTTCAGTACCATGGACCACATACATACCCTGCGGCAGATTCTTTCTTTCTTTCTTCTTTCACTTTGCCTGGCGTATGTGGACTATGAGAAAGCCTTTGATTCCGTCGAAATTTGGGCGGTGCTGCAGTCCCTTCATCGGTGCCAAGTTGACTGTCGGTATATCGAAGTGCTGAAGTGTTTGTACAGTAGGGCTACGATGGCTATCCGAGTACAGAACCAGAGCTCGAAACCTATCCAACTGCAGAGAGGTGTAAGACAGGGTGACGTTATATCCCCGAAACTCTTCACCGCTGCTTTGGAAGACGTTTTCAAGCTACTGGACTGGAAAGGATACGGTATTAACATCAATGGCGAGTACATCACTCACCTTCGATTTGCCGACGATATAGTCCTTATGGCAGAATCGCTGGAGGACTTAAGCACTATGCTCAATGACCTCAATAGTGCCTCCCAACGGATAGGTCTTAAGATGAACATGGACAAAACAAAGATCATGTTTAATGTCCATGTCACACCTATGCCGGTAGTTGTTGGGAGCACCAGGCTCGAAGTTGTTGACGAGTACGTTTACCTGGGACAAATAGTCCGACTAGGTAAGTCCAACTTCGACCGAGAGGTCAATCGACGGATTCAACTCGGCTGGGCAGCGTTCGGGAAATTACGACACATCTTCTCGTCAGGTATACCTCAATCTCTGAAAACTAAAGTTTACAACCAGTGCGTGTTGCCAGTGATGACTTACGGATCAGAGACGTGGTCTTTCACTGCTGGCCGTATGAGGACGCTCAAGGTCGCTCAACGAGCTATGGAGAGGGCTATGCTCGGAGTTTCTCTGCGTGATAGACTCAGAAATGAGGATATCCGCAGTAAAACCAGAGTGACCGACATAGCCCAACGGATTAGTAAGCTGAAGTGGCAATGGGCCGGCCATATAGCTCGAAGAACCGATAACCGATGGGAAAGAAAGGTTCTCGAGTGGCAGCCTCGTACCGGTAGGCGTAGTGTAGGGCGACCCCCCACTAGATGGAGTGACGACCTGGTAAGATATGCAGGAAGTCGATGGATGCAGGTGGCTCAGGACCGTGCTTTGTGGCATTACTTGGGGGAGGCCTATGTTCAGCAGTGGACTTGTGAAGGGCTGTAATGATGATGATGATGATGATGACGTCACGGTGGTCTTTCTGCGGTTACTAAGGGCTGTTAATAAAAAGTAAAAAATACATCGCGAAATGGCAAGTAAGTTTAACTTACCATTTCGCGATTATTAGGTAAGGTACCTATCCTGACTATGATCGACTAACCATATTTTCTCTACTATGTGAGTTCTGTGATGCCAAACGCATGCAACTTGCAAGGCCATTTGCCGCGAATTGCGATGCTTGGCTCGGAAGAAATATGTAGGTAATGTAAACAACAAATAAACCCGAAACATGATTCTAAGCAGATATATGATCATATTCTACTTAGTTACAAGTGGTAAAATTAAAAAAAAATTGTACCACCGACTTTAATATAAATAAAATAATTTATTGTTGATTTTGAAAAAAAACTTTAAAATTCGCTTGTCCAGAACGTGTTAGCCCCAACTGCGTGCACGCATGTAGCAAGGTTGATAGAGGTCTAATACGAGGCATTCCATCATCACGCATACGCATTTTGATTCTTCATCAAGATCAGATGTAGATGTGTATAGGCCACATCATCCATTTACCATCAAGTGTGCTGTGTGCTCGCTTGGCACGGAAGAAATATGTAGGTAATGTAAACAACAAATAAACCCGAAACATGATTCTAAGCAGATATGTGATCATATTCTACTTAGTTACAAGTGGTAAAATTAAAAAAAAATTGTACCACCGACTTTAATATAAATAAAATAATCTATGCTTGTCACCCTTGTTTTATAAAAAATGAGCACCTGCGAGTGTATGCAGGTGGGACAGACAGGCCCGCAGGCAAGCGGCGTCGCGCGCCCAGTCCGCGCTGCGAGCGCCGCGCCGCGCCAACCCGCCGCGTTCCAGCGGGAACACTAGCCCCATCCGTCCGCCCCGCTCGCACACAACTACCAACCTGCGGGATTTTTTATCGCGAATATCAACCATTATTCAATACTATTAAGGAATTAGAAATATATAAGAACATATTATTATATTATAAGATATGAATGATAATAACCCCTGGGAATAGGGTGATCGCTACCAAGCTATTTCTAATTTGTTTTGTGTTGTTACTTATTATGCAACTTTAACAATTAGAAATATTTTTTGTTTATTTTTTTAAGTCTCTTTGGTTTCTTGCTGGTTCTATCTAGGCCAGACGTATTTTCCAAACCAATTGTATGTGTGTATTTAATGTGTATTTTCTAAAACATAAGAGTAACTTTCAGTAACTATTTTTTATAATCTGCATTCAATAAAAAGGTTTCTATTCTTTTCTGTATAACACGATTCAAACATTTAAGTTTGTAAGAGTACCCTCGTTTTAGGTAACTTGTGGCTCAGGACCGTGCTTTTTATAGCATTCCTTGGGGGAGGCCAATGTTCAACAGTGGACTTGTGAAGGACTGTAATTCTAATGATGACAAACTAACTAAAAGTCCATCATGATCGATTTGATTGAAATGATCATCACTTTGGTTTTATAAAAGATACTGGAACTGAAGCTGAAGCATGCCTAATGCAAGACATTTATTGTGCTTAAGAAGATTTATCTAAAGCATTTGATATAATAAATCACGCAACGTTACTTTAAAATTAAAAATTTAATTTAATTTAATTTATTATTAAAAAATTAAATTAAAATTTCACGTTTTAAAATTTTACAACATACATATATGAACAATAGACATGCTCTTCATTTACTGTTTTAACTGTTTCTATCTAAATAGTTAGTGTAGATTCTGTTGTAGAAATGAGTCTTTCACAAGAGTTTGTTTCTCTTGAGCGATTTTTGTTTCATATATACATAACAAAGGACCTGCCATTTTCCGTTCAAAATCTACCTAACAATATATTGTATGCAGATGATACTTCACTTAACTTTCTATATGACGAGGTCAACTGAAAAACTAAGACTCTAAGTGAAGTAAACGTTGCTAAATATTTTTTAGACTTGTTCCACGTGAACAATTTGATACTAAATATTTAAAAAAAATGATGGGTTAGATAATTTTATTTTGCGAAATGTTAAACAAATTCGTATGTTGTCATTTTGTTAAACAGGTGTTTTTGTGGAAGAAACTGTATTTCTATGGACCATGGTAGATGGTAAATTACTATGGAGACCACATATTACTACCCTATTGGATAGATCGCCAACTTACAAAGGTCAGTTTATTTTAGTTACTTGCATAACATAATGGGCGATTTCCCATATACCGACACGGTGCCGACGCTTCGTTTTTCCACTGCGCCGGTGCCGATGCCGGTCTATGCTTGGTTTTTGGGCAGTAATAACACAGACTTCATTTCTACAATACATAAAAATGGTCTCGTCATGTCGTCGTATTTGTTTGTTATATCTCTTACACTTGAGATAAAAATATGACCAACGCAGAGAAGTAAAATTTTGAATTCATCCAATTTTAAAAATAAAATACGTAGAGGGAACATATCGCACCTCCGATAAAATAGGGTTACAACTTGAAAAATCTGGATCTTTAGAAAAGCGAAAATAAACTCATGGATTCTTTATACAGTCTTTATTCTTGTAGTATTAGTATAAAGTGATACAAATTATATATAATTGAAAAGCTTACAAAAAATATGTTTCAATGACATAGGCTATTTTTCAAATGTCCTGAAAAATTACCTGAAAATTCCTAATTGTAACAGTATTTTAGATAACTATTTGAACTTTTACTAACAAAAATACAGTATGACAAATGTAACAATTCTTATTATAATAAAAATTAGGCATTTATTTAAACTTTTTTCAACTAAACAATATTTATATAGCTGTAGTCTTAGCAACAAAATCAACTCTAACATAAATATTCAAAAATTTTAACTTAAACAAAAATGTAAACTAACTATTCTAGGCACCACAATTTTATCGAATCACTTCAGTACAAGTTCAGGTAGTACTTAATTAAGTTACGCTTAAATAATATTTGGTTTAACGTTCTCCTTAATTATACTCAGTAGGAACTGTAATCATCACAATAAAATCAAAATCACAGATAAAATCCAAGTTTCAGACATCTTTTAATTAGGGTGCATAATTATCAAAAAATTACTGGTATTTATTCAATTACAATTGGTTGTAAAAAGGCGCATAAAACTGTGGTATATGATTACTATTAATCAAACTCATCAAATCAGCTTTCTTCCTCTCGCTTATTGAGAACCTCAGGGTGTGTTTTGTCCTCTTCAACGGAACCAGAAGATGTCCTCTTCTTGATTACAGTCTGTATTACTCTATTACTGATGTCTATTGTATTCATGAAGAATGTGTTGCAGATTTGGATTTGACATCCCATTTTGGTCAAGTAAAATTCATGATTTAATTGTCTCCCTTTTTGAGTAGTCGTGTATCTATATTTTCGCATTATTGGCCCAATATGCCTGTTGATAAAATCTCTTTGGCGGTTAATATCTTTAAGTTCCGAGAACTCTTTAAAACAGCTTCACTATCTGCTTCTGAAAATTTTTCTTTGCACTTTAACCGACAACGTTCGCTACACGGTGGTTTAATTTTTCTAGAATCCTTCTTCACCTTTGTTTTTAGTGTTACGTAAGCAGATCCTGCATTTCTGAGGATTTTACATTTATTTTGTAACCACTCAATTGGTTTGGCTACACGTTTTCTGCTTCGTTTTTTCGTATCTGGTATCGTGTCATCTAGGCCTAAGTACAATGTTGATACTGAAGATGTAGCTGCAGGTGTAGCTTCGAAGTTAGCTTGGCTACCAACATTGTCTTCAGTTTCGGAATCGTCAGAGATTTTAATGGAACGACGTTCCTCAATTTGAAAATCTGGATCCTTCACCGAGTCATCACTATCCTCATTTGAAGTTGAATTAGAAGTGTCTGAAGAAAATGTACTTTCTGTATCTGAAGAAGAATTGGTTAACAAGTCATCAAAAGGCTACTCGATTTGCTTGGAACTCTGGTCTTTAACTTCTATTGAACTTGTAGATGGTATCATTTCAGTATTGTAAGTAGCAGAATTACTTATTGTTATATCTGTAAATGCAAAATCGAATCAACAATTATAATGACTACTAAACAAGGGCAACTTTTATATCAATTGCACAATAAAATACTACCATATTTTTCACATTGAGTCTGAAGATCATTTGGCAAAACAAAATTAACTTTCTCGATGGGATAGCTTTTGAAGTGTTCACTTGGAGATAACAGTGTTTCAAATTCCGTAGTGTTCTTGCTGGAATTAATTCTTGTCTTATTTTCTGTAAAACACATTTTTAAATTAGCACATCGTTTCAAACATCAAAATTAAAGCCATCATTGCTCCGATTGCACGATAAAAAAAAAACTTTTTCACTCTCAGCTTCGGGAACAGCTATGAAATCTTGATTAGCTCTTACGAGGTTACATTGTGGTATATCGTAGTCAATTTTTCCGGTTTCTGATAGATTGTCAATAATATCAAAATCCGATTTTTCTCTTGATTCTGAAAAAAATATCAACACGAACCTATGATGAAATTCACTTGTTTACATAAAGTTAGACGCTTCAATTAGTTCGTTATACAAAATAACGTATGCTACTAACTTTTAAAATGACAAAAATAACCTGGTAAAAACAGGTAGGTAAGGTACTTACCTTACTTACCTGCGATACTTACACGACACTACGATACTTACGATGCCTACTATACTTACCTACTTAGGTAAGTATAGTAGGCATCGTACCTTGCAAGTTTGTTCCCCCAATCTTTTGATAATAATTGACGGGTATATTCCTTTTATCCTTTATAGCTAAACGCAGAATTACGTCATTAAGTTTCATTTTGGCCCTAGAATCATAAATCACAAAAAATATAAATTTTTCGTCTAATACTGTTACAACGTGAAAAGTAAAACAATATTACAATAAATCGCATCCATAATACTGATACAATACAAAATATATCACTTTATAATAGAAATATTGAGCTAGTTTGATTCAATTCTTGAACAATAAACTGTAATAATTCGACTTGTAACTGTTCATTAGACAAATTGATGTAAGCAAAAATATTTTACCCGTCTAAAACACTGTTGTATTTTGATATGTAACACTTCTTGTCTAAACAAACGCACGTCTACCTTTTATAACACTAAATGTAACACTAATAGAGATCATTCTCGAGTCAAAATGCTATAGTCATGTACCGTTACAACTTCATCTAGCGGCGAGTTTTAGAGTTACAGATGTAACCATTTTGGAGAAGATAGTTCATAAAATTTTAAGTATTTCTGTATATTTAACTAAAAATTCGACTTTTTCGAGTTTTAACACTATTTTATCGGAGGTGCGATATTAACCTATTTTAAAAGTTGAAAATGAACTCCAGTACTTCCGCATGAATGAGATGATATTTAGTCATTAGAGTTTCAACCTCACAAGTCCCTTCTACGTCGATTGTACATGGTTACAATACGTACACAATACTCTGTGCCGGTGGGTGAGGGTATTAGTGTTCTGTGTCGGTGGGAGTCATCGCCGGGCCTACGCCGGTGCCAGTAAGTGGAAACACACGCCATATTATATTTCACACATTTTTTCTACCCCGGCAGCCGGGCCGTTGCCAGCGCCGGCGCCGTGCCGATGCCGTGCCGGTGAATGGAAAACCGCCTATTGTCTTACAGTATTTTATTGTGGAGACGTGCAGCTCGTGTTAATACTATTTTTATTTTGTAAAAAATGTGGTTAGCCAATATATATATATATATATATCATCATCATCACAGCCCTTCACAAGTCCACTGCTGAACATAGGCCTCCCCCAAGTAATGCCACAAAGCACGGTCCTGAGCCACCTGCATCCATCGACTTCCTGCATATCTTACCAGGTCGTCACTCCATCTAGTGGGGGTCGCCCTACACTACGCCTACCGGTACGAGGCTGCCACTCGAGAACCTTTCTTCCCCATCGGTTATCGGTTCTTCGAGCTATATGGCCGGCCCATTGCCACTTCAGCTTACTAATCCGTTGGGCTATGTCGGTCAATCTGGTTTTACTGCGGATATCCTCATTTCTGAGTCTATCACGCAGAGAAACTCCGAGCATAGCCCTCTCCATAGCTCGCTGAGCGACCTTGAGCGTCCTCATACGGCCAGCAGTGAAGGACCACGTCTCTGATCCGTAAGTCATCACTGGCAACACGCACTGATTGTACACTTTAGTTTTCAGAGATTGAGGTATACCTGACGAGAAGATATGTCGTAATTTCCCGAACGCTGCCCAGCCGAGTTGAATCCGTCGATTGACCTCTCGGTCGAAGTTGGACGTTGGATATATATATATATATATATATATATATATATATATATATATATATATACATTATTAGAAAACATTATGTATATACGAAAACGTGAATCTAGTTTATGAAGGATTAATAATAGACATCGTAAGTTGAGAGATAGTACTAAAATAGATGATCCTAAAAGAGACTATCATTTTGGGCCTCCTAGAAATTTTAACGTAACGTAAGGACATAATCAAATTAAAAAAAATCACAATTTACTATAGTAAAAGGCCTAAAGATTTTGTGAAAATCTAACCGGAATCATGAAATCTAAAAAAAAATAATTGTTTTTAATATCCGTGTTCTGGCTAATGTAATATGAAAAGCAAACATGCGTGTAACGAAGCATTTTGCAGTGTGTATAATAAAAAACATAAATATTTTACATATACGTATATAATACGATGACTTATAATAATACTATATACATATATTATGTATTTTTTCGAGTATGTTATATATTTAATAATAGAAAGAGATACCCCTAAAACTTATTTTTAATCCTATTTCTAAAAGCTAATATTATATTATATGGATCAAAGTGACCGTGGAACGAAACGTATTAATATCCCTATTTTCCTATTTTTCTTTGACTTCCGGGTACGGGTATTATACGGCATTGACGTTCGTCACGTTGCTGCTTTTTCTTATTTATTTACTCATCATCTTCATCGTATAGCGTATATAGGTAATATTTTAAATGAACATATTATTCCTTAGTCATCTTGGCTTTAATCACATTTCTTTAATTACTGTAATGATGTTTGGGATTAATACTCGCTAATCAATCAATATATATAAAATTAGTTTCTACATCACATTTGTTTGTCTGTGCACTATATTTTCCGGAACTACTAAAAGGATTTTCCATCAATCTTAAAGTAACTATAAATGCTGAATTACCTACAACTTTGTTTTATACTATTAATTATTGAACAGTGCACTATTTTAACTTATAATACCGGTGAAAACTACTAGACAATCGCTTTTAGTTTGTTTTAAGATATTGTGATATTCATATTTTATTTGTTAGTTTCGTATTAACGTTAGAGGCGGTATAACTAATATCACTATTGTAAACTATAGACTAAGGACACATTTACACACGTTCACATGCATTTAATTAAGTTACGCCGTAATTCGTGGTGGGTACATTCTCCATACAAAAAGAAATTGTCTCTTTTAGACTAAGAAAATTAAATAGTAATTTTTTGTGCAGATGTACATGAATTTATAACATGTCAAACCAAATCTAATCCTTTTCAGATTTAAAATTTGAAAATTATTAAAAAAAAGTGTTTGCACTCCAAGGTACTTTCCTACACTACTTCTAATTCCAAGGACTTTAGGTGAATCAAACTTTAATAGCTTGACTGCAAGGGTTCATGAAATGTTTTTAGTGTCTAATGTAATAATACAAAAACACGAGTAGACTCACGAGTCGATAGTGAGCAGCAGATGATGGGATCTGTGTGCGTGTGCGCAGAATCGAGCGAGGCACTTGTCGTACGAGCCGCAGTCCAGCAGCCTCGCTCGAAACGCACACGACGCCATGTAACGACTTAAGAGCCGAATAGAGCCCTGCAGTGCACACAATACGGTAATAGCAACAGATTTTCCCGGACAGAGACAAACAAGCACACAGTGTCCCTCATGGTATATGTATGTAGACACGTGGGAGAGCCACGCTGCAGATATATTACAGTTGTAGCACGGATAGGTTGAATTCAAGCAATTCCAAGCAATACCAACCAATAAGAGGGGAACACAAATCTAGTACTGGACATCTTACGATCGAATGAAAAGTATTTTATTAAAGTATAAGCGTAAAGATCAAGCACATAGTCCGCCTGTTGATTAGTGGATACCAAAGACCATACACATCTACATCTGCCATCGATTAAGAAACAAAATTGAGATGCGTTGTCACCCCCGCAGACTACAATAGAATGCCTCGTTTACAGAGAAAAGGTTCTCCGGCTCTCTACACTCTCCATATAAAAACACAGCAATATTAAGCTGCTATCACACGCTTGTATTCTGTGAAAGCGTGGTCCTACTTAGGTCGATGCTACAGGTGTGTATAACTAGCATGGCTCTACTATATTATACACGAAAAGAGTACCAAGTAAGAACATAAAAACAAAAAGAGTATTATTTTCTGATTTACAATATGCTGATTACTACCAAAATTATTCACAAGCAATTTAATTAATTGGGAACGAAAGGCTCTCGAGTGGCAACCTCGTACCGGTAAGCGAAGCACGAAGTGCACCTCGTGCAGGTAGCTCAGGACTATGCTTTGAGGCGTTCTTTGGGGGAGGCCTATCTTCAGCAGCGAACTTGTGAATGGCTATAATAATGATGATAATTAATTTACTTAATATCTAGTCCACCATATAAACGATGCTACTGACCTGATAGGATCCCTCTCGCATGTGGTCTATAGTAGCGTTAAGCGCACCGGCCACTCTAGCCACAGTTGACAGATCAGAGCAATGCGAGTCCAGAGTCGCCTCCAGTGAAGGGTGCCAAAACTGCCACAAGACCCCACGCTCGTTACACGCCGTGGACGTCGGTGGGCCTACAGCCGCGACATAGTAACCCTGACAAAGTAAAGCATAATATCCATTACGCCTCAATTAACTGAAAACTCTACTAACATTCACCATGTAGTGACAGCGTAATAATATTAATAATGTCCTCAAATTCGAATTTCGGTCACGGCCGCCAGCCGCAACGAAGACCAGCTGCGCAGGACAGGGTTATAGTGCACGAGTGTATGGTGGTGGTGGTGCACTCTTTGCTCCCTCACTCTCATAGTCTAATGGGATGGTAATCCGACACGACAGGAGAGAGATCGGGCGCATTGACGGGTTTACCTACGTGCTTTCCGAGACACGGGGAAGAAACACCTTCATTTTCCTGACACCGGACAGGTTCTTGACAGGAAAACTCAATAATTGATTTACTACTTTAATAATTGAATTTTTTTGTACGTGGTAGAGCCACGCTGCAGCTATATTATAGTTGTATCACGTATGGTTCGGCTCGAATGGGGCAGGACCAAGGCAATGCGCCTGCAATTCCTCTGGTATTGCAATTCTTCATTGGCAGCGGTATCAGGTGAGCCGCATGCTTGTTAGCTCCTCTTGTGTAAAAAAGGACAGACCCAACAATCACGAGTAATGTTGGAACAATTTTAGGCCATAAGGAAAATATAAGGTAAATGAAACCTTTGATATTTTGCCATTGAGTCCAGTAATAAGGAGCTATATTTATTTTGTAATGAAATCATAACTGTTCTCAAAGAATAAAACATGAGATGACACTATGAATCGAAACATCTTCAAAATTACTCTAAATAGACAGGAAGTTTGCGGACGGAAAAATTTGAAACTTTGACGACGTAACTGTGTCACCATGTTTGTTTGAAGTCGGTTGCAAGTATCCATAGGCAGAAGTAGCCACTTATGACGTGGACTTTAAATTTGCTTTTATAAACGGCGTTGAGTCCCTGCGAGTTATCAGTGAGTGTACTCACCCCCTGAGCGGCGGTGTAGTGCAGCAGAGCCAGCGGGTGCGTGAGGGGCACGGCGCCTGTGTAAGCGGCGCGTGCGGCGCCCCCCACCCTGGCTGCCAGCATCAACTTCGCCTCCACCTCCCCCTGTACCCCCCGCACCCCCAACACCCACGCGGACCATCACCCACGCCGCACCCTCCACTATCGCTAAGCGATGCTCCGTTCTTGTTTGAGGGGATACTAACAATTAAAAATTTAATTAGGGCTTAATCTTATCTACCGTTTAATGGTAGTGTAAGCATATCCACTACCCCATATCGTCCCGTGGGTGTCGTAAGAGGCAACAAAGCGAAATAAATCGGGAGACGAGCAAAACAACTGCCAACCCGCTTGCCAAGCGTGGCAACTATGGCAAATATCCCCCTATAAGGCAATCCATAGAACACTATAATATACAATAGAATGGCTGACAACCTTATTTTATACGACGATAGGCGTCGCCGAGAGCACATACAAGCAATAACGTTGTATTATCGTTACTACAAACCCGATTCGCTGTATTGACAGACAGATTTTAATACATATTTATTTGTAAATAGCGTGCAATTTGGCTTTTTCTAAATAATTTGTAACTTGTTGTAAATTGTAACGTCAAAACAAATCTCGTGTTGACGTTTATACGTGTGAATTGACGTGTTAGTGGCATTTTAGTGGCTACACGGGCTCCGCCCACACCACCGTTCTATTATGTATGTATTAAAATCTTCTATGAGGCAATCTATGAGGGAGGGCTGTTTTCATCAAGACTTTGAAAGGCCGTACCGGTTTACGGTTAATGTTATCAGTTTATTCGTTGCGAGCCTGACCGCAGGACCACGTGCCAGTATCCTTTTTGGTATGTAGTTCGCTTCAGTTTGTGTTCTTCTGCGCTATTATTAGACAGTTTTCATATTTTTCTTTAAATGTCTTAATAGCTTTTAGGCTACGAAATGGTAGTAGTAGGTCGTTACAACACAGCGTACCTCAAGCTCCGACGAAAAGCGCCGGTGGAATGGCACGGTGCGGCGTGAGAATAACTTGACGCACGAGTTTAAATCGCACGTTTACACTAACTTTTGTGGATGGAATCTTGAAGTAGATATTAGTTGTTTTATTGTAACAATAAAAATAAAGAAAAACTACTTTAAAAGAAATGATCGAATAGAGAATATATAAAAGAGAAGATATAATAAAATTAATGGCATATTATATTTAATTATAAGGAAAGGTTTTGCTAAATGAACTTATTGTGGATATTTAAATTTTAAAATGTTTAATAAAATTATATTATATGTAATAAATGACATTGACCGTATAGTGACGATGTAAGAATATCTTCCCGTAGGAGTCGCAGGAGATGACAGAGGAAAACTAACTAGGAAGTGGACGGCAGTATCTTTCTTATATCAACTAAATTAAAATCTGCTCTGAAAACTCGCCTTATAAGTGTGACAACTTCCCCTTCTACAAGTGTGATAATCCCCCCCTTATAAAGCAATATATGGGGGAGGCCTATGTTCAGCAATTTACTTTTGATATGCTGTAACGTATAAAGTACGTGTCAATCCAAATCACATGATGTCGACATCAGCGCCAATGTCCAATTGCGAATCTAAGCTATTCTCGAATCAACATAATCACAAACAAAATTTCATCAAAATTGGTACAGCTTTTAAAAGGCATTCAGTCACATATACACTGACAGAAGAGACGTTAGTCATAGTAAACTTTTTTTAATTCTCGTAGAATATCTAAACCAGTTTTTAATTCCCGATGAAACCCAACTTAGTGCTTTATCAAAGTTTCATTATATAAGTTCTGAACTAGATCGCACACTGTATGATTTATTGGCTCTTGATTCGTTAGCAACGGCGGGTAAACTCAAGCCTGCTATCAATTAGATGTTTATCTTTGATGGTAACGAAATTGAACAAAAAGTTATGTATTTATAATGCTTTAAAAAAAAAGGATTTTGTTTAAAGCATTTGACAAACGAGCACACAGTCCACCTGATGGTAAGTAGATGCTGTGAGCCATAGACATCCACATTTATCTTCAATTAAGCATCAAAGCGCTAATGCGCTGTCAACCCTGAGGACTAAGATGGAATGCCTCATTTCCAGTAAAAGGGTCACAGTACCATATGTCTCGTACCTTTAACTCATCTGTCGAGAACTCTTAACACGAAATCCTGAGATCAACGATCAAAACAATCCTTGGTTGTACGAGTACATTGCCTATAGCGGCGACGATAGGCACGCCCATGTGTTTAAGAGAGCGCGCATTGAAATTGCATTATATTTTTACTAACGGTACATGCATACAAGCGATTGAAACAACAGCTTCGGTGTTTTTTAATTTCCCGCTATGAAAATCAATGATTTTCAAAACATTGGGAAGTTATCGTATTTTATAGTATAAGGGAGTACACAGCCCACCTGATCGTAATTAGATGCTGTGACCCATAGACATCTACATATATTCTCGATTAAGTGACAAAATGTAGATTGTCCCCCCTGAGGACTAAGATCGAACGCCTCATACCCAATAAAAAGAGTCTCCGGTAAATGCATTCACCATACGAAAAACAGCAGCATTAAGCTGTTATTTCAAGCTGGTATTCTACGAGAACGTAGTCCTTCTCCGGTCGAGCCGCCCCATTCGTGCTATAATAATCAGTCTTTAATAGCTGCAACATGGCTTTACTACGTATATTTCATCAATGTACATTACACAATATATGGTCGGAACCTAGAAATTGTGACTAGAGAACTTTTACCAATAAATACTGCTATCAACGATTGAAACAAAAACTTCAAATGACTCATTATCTTCATCTACACTCTATAACATTGCCATGGCAAAAAATAAACATAAAAGTATGTAATTCAACCAAACAAAATAATAACTAGTCCGGTCAATCTAGGCATTCGGTGATACATAAAGTTACAACAAAATGATAATCGGTAAAATTGTTCAAAATACAATTATGAATAAAATTTGAAGTTCACCATTCCTGTGTATGGAAAAACGTTTACAACTTTTACGTCTTTTTGAATCGTAATATCTCGAAAACGGTGGCTCGTACGAAAAAAGTAATGATAATTTTTTTGTAGATAATTTCATGATCTATAACTTTTGTTTGGGGTATTTTTATGATAAAACTTACCGTTTTGCTGAAAATCGTGAAAAACCCATTTTTTTACCTTTGACCTTGAGTAAATTTTTTTCATACGCAGGAATGGTGGAGAACTTCAAAATTTTATTCATAATTATATTTTCGATAATTTTACCTATTATCAGCTTGTTGTAACTTTATGTATCTTATTTTCTCATCTAATTTGACCGGACTAAACGTTATTATTAATTGTGATGATATAAGGAAAAATTTGGGCACAGCGTTAAATAACTATTTAAAAGGACAGCTGATTAGTAATTATTGCATGCCTAGGGCATACTTTATAGTCATATAATGAATAAAGTATTTTGCTAGTAAACTTTGTCCTAATAGAAAATTAATAATTCGGTGTACATTACCTCTCTGCAAGTAGCAGTAGCGGTAGGGGCGCGCATGTATCAAAGCTCGCGCGCAATGTACGCGCTCGATTCCCCCTCCCCGTGCACGCGCACTGCGTGCCGCTGCCTGCACCCATCGCTCCACCACCTTGTCCCTGCATTGCCAAACACCTTTATTTTTATCATTCCCTCGGATAATTTCTTGAAGTGAATAATAGAATTACCGTGTGGTGGCGGTGTAATAATATACCCCCCCCCCCCTACCCCGTATCATCCCGTGGATGTCGTAAGAGGCGACAGAGGGAGACAAATCAGGAGATGGGCAGCATTGTCTTCCTAATAACGACAAAAATAAAAAAAAACTGCCATTGCCGACCCACTTTCTAAGCGTGGCAACTATGGCAAATATCCCCCCTATAATGGCAATCTATGGGGGAAGCCTATGTTCAGCTTTAATTAGCTGTAACGGTAACTGTAACGATAACAATAGACTTAGGCGTTACTTTGCAGAAGTTCTCTGAAGAGGAAAAGCGGGAAATGCTAATCGAACTCGGTGAGACAAATTTTTTCTTTTTTTAACGCGGATCTTAGCTAAAAAAAATTCAACATCTATTTTAAGTAAATAAATCATATCGGATCCAATTCGGATAAACAGAGCTCGAGAAATTGAGACAGTTTAGTCACGAATTCCTTAACACTTTCAAGCAACTAATGCGTGTAGACAGTAGGCCTAGTCTTTCACTACTGACAAAACTAAAAACTAAAAAAATAAGTATTCTCAGAGTAACCAATTTAAAAGATAATACCTAAAATTATCCATAAAAAGAAGAGAATCTACGGATACGTATATCCTGAACATCACTAGGCGGTTATTCGTAGTGATATTCCGGACTCTGTCTCATTTTTATTTATTTCTTTCGCAAACCAGAGTATGAACAAGAAACACAGCCTTAGACCTTCTTACCTAGATATTCCATTACAATAAACTAATTTTTAAAAAAATACACCACCATCTGGATTAAGAACTTACGTATCACACAAGAATAATTTTGGACCTTTGGCTGGTGATCTTCAAAACATCTTATGAAAGTTACAGCCTATAGACATCCCACTCCTGGGCACAGGCCTCCGCTCACTTCTGAGAGGGTTTTAGGGCTAGGAATTGTCCGCCGCACTGCCCTAATGCGTGTTGGCGAACTTCACATGTCTTCGAAATATGTATTATCTTATTTCTCACACATGTAGGTTTTCTCACTATAATTTCCTTCACCACCGAGCACGTGGTAAATCAGCACTTAAAATTGCAATTAACAATTTCATTGGTGCCGGCGGGGATCGAACTCAGTTTTCTCGCGTACTGTGAAATTTACAGCGAGCGCTAACCATCTGAATTACCACGGTTCTAAACATGTTATATTTGTTGGCAAATAACAGTCCGTGCATTGCTTCCAATCTGAAGAGTATAGAGAGTCAGCATATCTATATTAAAGACCAATCTGTGAGACAATTCCATTATAGATCTCTGAGGTGAAAACGCATTCGTAACCTTCTTCACTTTAAGTTAGCTGCTGATGTTCGCGGACTACGGTAGCCACTTACCATCAGTTTTATAAAAAAATATAACCTAGTCTGTGAGAATGGCAAATGATCTAATACATCTCGACACTAACAGACAGTATAAGAGTCTCACATTTACCAGATGTGAGATATACCCAGACGGGCCGCGGGGTAATAGAGAGAGAGTGATAAGGTAGAATTTCCACTAACCTTAGTCGCTCCGTGGGTGTCGTAAAAGGGGGGATATGTGTCATAGTTTGCTACGCCCGGCCAATGGGTTGGCGACCGCTGTTTTTTATTTTTCATCATTATTAAGAAGACGCTGCCGCCCATCTCCTGATTTGTTTTCCTCTGTCGCCTCTTACGACACCCACGGGACGATATGGGGTGGTGGATATTCTTGCATCGCCACTAAACGGCCATTTACCATCACGTGGACTGTAAATTTGTTTGTCACTTCAGTTTCAAAATAATGATTAAAAAATGGATATTTTAAAGAGAAACCATCAAAACACCTCACCTGCATAAATATCCCGACGGTGTTAAAAACTCCGACCACTTGTCAGCTTCCCGGCCAGTCAGTCTGATCTTCCCGTAGCCAACAGGACCGTCCTGGAGACGACAGTCCTCACTGTCAGCGTTCAGGACTGGCAACGAATCCAACGTGACTATGTACTCTAGTGAACGTGATCGCATCTGAGGATAATTGAATTTGTAATATAAACATTATATATTTTTAATTAAAGAAACGTGCACAAGTCCAATGGGGAAAAATTAAAAAAAAATCCGCAACTAACGCACAACCAAATAGTGGCTCAAATTGGAATTATCAGAACCGAAATCTAGTCCGTCGCTATATATCGCACTCGTAGTCGCAAGCGAAGAAATTGCTTTTTCTTAATATGATTATCCTATATTAGTAATAAAAATATTTAAGAAGCGAACTTTGAACCTTACCATGTAGTGGCGGTGTAAGAATATCCGCTACTGTAGTGGATACTCGGCAAGAGGCGAAAGATGGAAACGGACTTGGAGATGGGCTGTAGCATCTTACTAAGAACAACTAATATTGCGGTTTCTAACCTTTATAAGCGACAGTAGCCTAATGGCAGGGCGCGGACCGCGACCTCAAAAAGGTCGTGGGTTCGAATCCACCATTCGACTACTGGCGTGAACCACTCGTAACACAAGCAATTTAAGCTTACCACGAGTGGTTAAGGGGAATATTAGTAATGTTTATAGCATTGTTAATATTTTTTTTAAAAAAAATTTAAAAAAAAATCAAATCCATTAAAAATAATCTCCGGATTAAAAAATATCTAAATGTGTATGTGCCGATGTGTAGATCGATGGTGTTTCTCGATTCGAATTGGTTTGGGAGTTAGTTTTTAAATCATTTCTATCTAGGAGATTAATATGCTTGCGTGTTACAGAAACACTTTACACGATAGGAAAAATTACTTGCCTTTTTTTCTCTATGCAGCGCAATCAAATGACTGCATCGGAAGCGAGGGTCTTTCTGCCCAGCTCCGTCCACAATTCGTTGAACTATTCCCTCGACTAAGCATTCCATTTCAATTGACATTCGATCTGTAAATATAAAAGTAAAGTAGTAACAACCTTTATTAGTTCCACAGATGGGCACAGGTGTCCCCTCATTCCCGAAAGTATTTTGAAGCAGGATATATATATATGAAATAGTGTCATCGCATACCAAAAAAAGATTTTAGTGCTTTTTGGAAAGGCACTAATAAGATGAGAATTCGGCCTGGCCTTCCCGTGAGTGTGGGCGGGGTGAGTAACCCAAAGGATATTGCCAACCTCTTTAGGGAGCTTTTCTCTGTAAAGTCGACACTAGGGTCATATTCTTATGAATCAGTGCAAGATGCTGGGACAGTCATTGATGGAGTAGGGGACAGAATAAGTGTGCAAGATGTAGCAAAAGTCATAAAATCTATGTCTAGGGGCAAGTCTCCAGGTCATGATTGTCTCAGTATCGAGCATCTACAGTATGCAGGCCCATATATACACCGCGTACTGGCTATGTTCTACACTACATATTTACAGCATGCATATCTGCCCCCTGATCTAATGAAGACCATAGTAGTACCGGTGGTAAAAAATAAAACGGATGACTTGTCAGATAAATGTAATTATAGACCAATATCCTTGGCAACCATCGTAGCAAAGATATTGGACAGTGTGCTTAATACGCAGATCAATAAGTATCTAAAACTGCATGACAATCAGTTCGGATTTCGTACCGGACTGTCCACAGAAAGTGCGATACTTTGCCTTAAGCACACTGTCAAATATTATGTTGATAGGAAAACACCTGTCTACGCTTGTTTCCTTGACCTGTCGAGGGCATTTGATCTGGTCTCTTACAATATACTGTGGAAAAAATTGGAGGATATAAAATTACCAGGTCAACTGATACAGATTTTAAAATATTGGTATGGGGGACAGGTCAATTGCGTTAGATAGGCTAATGTTTTGTCTGAACCATACCGGTTGGAGTGCAGGATGAGACAGGGTGGGCTAAGCTCACCCAGTCTCTTTAACCTCTATGTAAATGCACTTATTGAGGCGCTTAGCAGCATGCATGTCGAATGTCATATAGATGGAATTTGTGTAAATAACTTGAGTTACGCAGATGACATGGTGCTGCTGAGTGCATCAATATGTGGATTAAGAAAATTGCTTAGTGTTTGTGAGACATTCGCAGCCGAACATGGGCTGAACTACAATGCACAAAAAATTCAGTATATGATCTTTGGGGCCAGATGGGATCGTACGCGTAATGTGCCTCCTATTAAATTGAATGGCACACCATTAACTAGGGTTGACTCTTTCAAATATTTGGGTCATATGGTTACTTCCGACCTCAAGGATACTACTGACATAGAAAGGGAACGTAGGGCTCTGTCGGTTCGTGCAAATATGATTGCACGTAGGTTCGCGAGATGTTCAAGGGAGGTTAAACTCACTTTATTTAGAGCGTTTTGTACATCTCTTTACACGTGCAGCCTATGGAGGGACTACACGCAACGGTAGGACCGTTGCGTGTAGTCCCTCTGTGGTGCTCCGTGTAAGCTCTCCGGATCCAATATAACAACGCGTTCCGGGCGCTATGGGGCTGTCCCGACGCTGCAGCGCATCAGCGATGTTTGCTCAAGCACATGTAGATTGTTTTTACGCAACTTTGCGTAAAAGAGCTGCATCGCTGGTGCGTAGGGTAAGGGCCAGCCCCAATGGCGTTCTTAAAATGATAGGTGACAGAGTGAACTGTCCCTATCTGCAACATTGTTGTAGACTGCATATGCACAGCAGCTAATTTGACTGCTGTTTAAGTGCATTACGGCATTTAGTAATAATTTAATAGTTTTAATACATTTGTCTCGTCATATTTTGTTAGATTATTAGATTTTAATTTTTTTTAATGATTATAATTTGAAAAAAAAGTAATGTAAATGAAAATGAGTCTTGGATACTTGAAATTAAATAAATAATAATAAACCTGCCATAATGCTCTAGAGATAATCGGTAGACTTCAGATGCTGAATTTTTCCTTTTTTTTCTTTTATTTGATACCATGCTTTCCTGTACTGTATAGCACGTAGTAAATCAGCAATGAAAACTACAGTTTGAGTGATATAGGCAGAAATCGATTTTGTAATATTCAGGAATAAGAATCTATTAAAGTAGAAGGTACGAGGGTGAGTCAATAGGTTGACGGTTATATCACATTTTATTTAGAAAAAAAAAGTTGCAGCCTATATACGTCCCACTGCTGGGCACAGGCCTCTCCTCATTTCTGAGAGGGTTTTAGGGCAAGGAAGTGCTCGCCGCGCTGCCCCAGTGCGTGTTGGCGAACTTCACATGTCTTATAATAAAGAAATTTTTTTCTTATTCTTCAGGCATGCAGGGTTCCTCACGATGTTTCCTTCACCGCCGAGCATGTGGTAAATTAGCACTTAAAATTGCAATTAACAATTTCATTGGTGCCGGCGGGGATCGAACCCGGTTTACTCGCGTTCTGTTATATTTACAGCGAGCGTTAACCATCTGAGCTACCACAGCTCTAATTTTTTTTGCATTAATGAAAACAACCATTTAATAAAACAAAACAACCGCATCATTACTCATTGAGCTATAGTAGATTGAGTAAGAAAATCGGAAAGAAAATTTGAAAGCAATAGTAGCTCACGGGATCATTTAATATTACATGGTACGCGAAATACCGAAGGCTTCCCGCATGGGCCACCAAAATTTTTTGTAGCATGAATAAAAACCTACAATTTTGTGAAGTTAAAAAAACAGAAATTAAAAGTTCCGAGGACAAATTAAAATACTTCAAGGTTGTTTGAAACCCACCAATACCCACTGCTCCAGAGTGGTTAATTATTGTCTACTTTAAAATAATCTAAAACAGGAGATGAATATTGCAATTAAACGTATATAGACAATTAATTTGCACATTTGTTTTTCATTTTTATGGGTCATTCTGTTAAAGTAACCTTGCTCTCTTTTTCTTTGAAATGTAAATTTCAAGTCACGATGTCTAATACAGATATGAAGGCATCGTTGTGACGTTTCATCTTGCATTGTGTTGCGTATATCAAATCGCACATTCGATCATTATCCAGAATCTATTATATAAATTGCAATTTCTTTACATCATCATAATAGCACTCACTTGATGATTCATTAATGTGATACTACAATAATAAACTTTTGAATTTATACGTTGTTTTAAACACCCGTGGAACGAGATGAAAGAATATAAAGTAATTTTTGATCACTAAAGTATTTCACTTCAAACACTGACTTTAATTAAAAGTAAAAAAAATTACTTCTAATAAAAAATAACTACGAGCGATGTCTATGCCTATAAAAAATTTGACTTTAATAAAAAGTAACTTTTGATCTCTAAAAAATTTTACTTTAAAAAGTAATTCTTGATCTTCAAAATATACTATTTTAATAAAAAATCTTGATCTCTAATAAATTTGACTTTATAAGATCTAAAGAACTTGAATTTTTATTAAAAGTCAAATTTTTTGACAACACGGCAAACCCATGATGAAAGGCAGGTCTGAGGAAGCGACTTCGAGTAAGCTTAGAAAAATCCACAGCAGTTGTGTGATGTTGGTTTGTGTTAGGAGGGTTGTTCTCTCATCCTGTCCTCTGAAGCTGAGGTGGAGTCGAGTCTCCATTAAAAAAAAAAAAGAAATATGCAATCAGTTATTACTTTTTTGATCTTCTTCATAAAGCGTATCAACGTAAGAATTAAGGCTACGTAGCTGGTTAACGGTGAATCGAAGTCCGGTTGTTGGAAGCCGCAAGTCCGTGCCCGGGTTCTCAGCGGCGAAGCCCGATGCTCCTGACCCCATAGCTGATAACAAACATTGGACTTAGATTTAATAAATATTCAATTGATAGTGGTACTTAGATCAAAGATAAAGGCTAAGTGAAAGTATATTTGTTTAAAAATTAGACTTTACAAACACTTTTTGATAGTCAAATAAGCAGTATGGTATAAACATTTGCTGTTAATTTCATAGTAAGCGAGCAACCTAATCCGATCAATTCCGGTACCATTGAACTTGATGAAAATAGCATGTAACAGCGCTACTTTAATACATACTCAACCGTAAAAGAAAACATTAAGAGGAATCCTGCATGACTGAGGAATAAAAATATTTCGAGTACACGTAAAATCCGCCAAGCACTGGAGCAGCGCAGATGAGTGCCAATTCTATAATATGTCTAGAGCTATACAGGCCTCCGTACTCAGCAGTAGGACGTATACAGGCTACAAATTTACTAAAGTCTGTTCGGCAAGATTTGATAAATACTATGAAAACGTATCGCAATAGCGACTGCCGCTCAAGTATCGCAATTTGTGTGACGAGTGTCACTTATAGCGGCAAACACAGAGTTTTGTGGTACGAGGCAACTTGTCAAGCGCGAGGTCGGACGGACGAGCCAACGCGGCGGCCAACTATCAGCAAAACCCTGCTATTTTTACTAACTCTCGCCGGACAGACTATAGTGTAAAATATCAAATTGAACATAGATTGAAAATCCATCTGTCCTAATTACGGAAGGTATTGACGAAATTGAATTGTAAACTTCCTGCTTTTTTTGAAGTTAGTTACAAAACATATATGTCGAATATAGAACCTCCATCTTTGATATCAGTCAAAATACGAAAGCTTATTTCTCATAAAACTTTTCGCCATCCTATACTTTTACAGCTTTGTTTCGCTTTTTTAACTACGTCCCGCATTGTGATTGCAATTATCCTGCAAATCCATACACTTAGGTTGGCAAGCCTAGTCTGACCATGCCTCCACCAATAAGGTGCACTTCACTTACCCTACTGGCCGATGATAAAGAATCTGAGAACCAAAATACAGCATAAACTTATTGTACTTTTTTCGACTCTTGTTTCATTACTGATCATCAAAAACATCAAAAATCGATTATTCATAATGATTTAGATCGCACAATGTTGTTAGGGTGCAGCCAAATCGGTGTTTATTGTTCAACTTCCGGCGGAAGTGTTTTATCTAACGCCGGTCATGCGCACAGGTGACCGTGAGTAGGGGAATTATCTACATTTACTTGTACAGTTACAAACAGTATAATGAGATGTACTCCAGTAATTGTTTTTTTCCGAAGTTATAACCGAAAGATTTTATGTTATACCAACAATTCATTTTAACGTGGTAGAGCCATGCTGGAACTATATAAGGTTGTAGCACGAATGGATCGGCTCGACCGGGGTAGGGCAACGCTCTTGCAGAATACCATCGTAAAATAGCAGCTTAATACTGCTGTGTTTCGTATGATGAGTGTAGAGAAATCGAGACCCTTTTTAATGGATACGAGGCATTCCATCTCAGTCCTCAAGGGCGACAGCGCATTTACATTTTGATTCTTAATCAAGGATAAATGTAGATGTTTATGGCCCACAGCATCCACATACCATCAGGTGAAGTGTGCTCGATTGTCACCTTTTTTCTAAAATAATATTATACACTTATTTTACTTATTTCATTGTTTACTTATTTGTGACAGCATGAGATAATACTTTCAATAATTATCCAAAAAAATGACCCTCCATCCCGTCCCTTACATTTTTTAATAAAAATGAAATGACAAGCGATCTTACATTTCATCTAATGGCTAAGTGGTTGCTACAGCCCCTGGACAATTGCTAAAATCTTCAAACAAAGAAATCCTTAGTCTACAGATGCGTTGCAGGCATGTAATTATACTGTGTCTCCATACTTTTCAGGCCTGAATACAGCAGCGAACGCAGTGCTGTGTAGCATCAGAAAGAGGATGGGGCAGAAAAGGAGTCTAATCACCTAGTTGATGATGTAAAGAAAGATGAAAAAAAGAGAGAAACACCTATTGCAAACGTGCCACACTCATAAATCGGACACTTAAATTTAAATATTTGTACACATGTCAACAACAATTTGACGAATACATTCAACAAAAGTATGTATATGTCGCAGCCAACTATAAAATTAGCCGTTCAATCAACCGGCTATCATCTTTACTAAACAGCGCCGTTCAACAAGCAGCCTGAATGATATTCAGCCGTAGCGTTTGTTGCAACATTTAATAATAATGCTTAAGCTAATGCTTAAGCCATTCGTACGATAGGGTGGAACAGCGCCGTTTAACTAGCGGCCTGAATGATAAACAGCCCAGGCGTGTCAGTCGATGCGTCTAATACAAAATTTGTATTATATAAATATACGCGGCTTTATGGTGGCCTAAGGGCTTTATGGTGGCCCAACCGCACCCTGACCTACTGTCGCTGATATTACAACATCAAATGTGTTGTTTGCCGGCGCCATATTGACAGTTTGGAGAGTTTCAGCGCTAAGTGGCAGTAAGTGGAACTAAATTGAAATGAACAGGCTAGGCAAGTGATCAAACGTCATCGATCCAAGTCATTTGCCTAGCTGTTTGATCAAATGGCTGAGGTATTACTCAGGTCGCTAGTTGAACGGCGCTGTTTAGTAAAGAGGCTAGGCTGTTGATTAAACGGCTAAATAAGCAAGTTGGCTGCGACATATATATAATATTACTCCTAAAATACGTTCATCGTGTGTTGTGGCATGTTAAGCAAACGGACCTCACTCCTCTTAATATGCTGTCACCGAAACAACAGCGCTGATTTTCAGTGAGCCCGAATGTACTCGTAGTAGTTGATTATGACCAGGGCAACGGACCATAAAACTCTGCCAAACACATAAATTAGAAGTAAATATACTCAGAGTGAGACGGGAAGCGGCGTGTTACAAGAAGTCTGATACTGCTACCTTCACAACACCCACATGAAGAATGGATATTATGATTTGATCCGTTTATGCCGTCTCTGTATCTGTTACATAATCTACCAGGATTGCCTGCATATAAAATGATTGCCTTGTAGATCTAGCAATTGTAAGCGCGACTGCTAGCCATACGGTCGCGGATTCGAATCGAGGGTCGGTTAAAAATCCGTTATTGGATTTTTCTGTGGAGAAATTCTTAGTAGCTATCTAGATCTTAGAAGCGAAGTTAAACCTTTCAATCGTTGGTCCAATGACGGATCTCGCCACGGTCGTGCCGTCCAGTAGAACTATGAGAGTAAAAGATTAAATAGTGCAGCTGTACTCCGTTAAGACTGGACGCCGTGAACGAAATTCGGTCTGAAGGTACTTCGTTAAGACTGGCCGCCTTGAACGAAATTCGGTCTAAAGAGCATTATAACTACGTAAATTATAAAAATAATTCATTTCTCACAAGCTCTATTTCATGAACGCTTCCAATGCAGGATGGGGAATTCCTTCTCCTTTATAAAAAAATAAATAAATTTTAAAGGTATAAAAAAGGTTTCAAGTAATATATTCATATTACTTGAAACCTTTTTTATTTCATTAGAATAGTGCTTGCTTTACGTATTAGGCTCGTTACACACGAGCGAATTGTGACCTTCCTCCTCTCGCGGATAGTACAAGAAAAATGACGCGTCATTGAGCCGTTGACGATAATGGTGGTGATTTTCAACCGCTCTCCGGACGATACAATGGCATTACCACTTTTTTGTTACGTGCAATTGAAGTAATGAAATATTTACCTTTTCATATTTTTATATTTGGATAGTGATTGCTAGTACGTAATCATAGTTTTCTCCAGTGAGATCATGAGTTTCCGGGTTTGAATCCCGGGTCGCGCCAAAGGTGTTTAACGTCCTAATGTCATAGTTAACGAAGACTACCTAAACTTAAATTATTAGATTTTTGTAAAATTTATTTTATTCCATGTGTATGTAATATTTGCGTAAATATAAGAAATCATTAATTGAATCACGTCCACCTATTGTATAGAATACGGGCGACATACGAGCACACATTCCACCTGACGATAAGGAGATGATTTGGCCTACAGACGTCTGCATCTATACTCAATCAAAAATCTAAATGCAGTTTCGTTGTCACCCCTATGGACTAAGACGGAATGCTTCATTTCCAGTAAAAAGGGTATCCGGTTCTCTACACTCACCATACGAAACACAACAGCATTAAGCTAGGATTTTACGCTGGTATTCTGATAGTTTGGTACTTCCCTGATCAAGTCGACCCATTCGTGCTACAACCATAATATAGCTGCAGCGTAGCCCTACCACGTATAAAACCTGATCTGAATGTCTTAACCCTTTCCTGACTTCGATCTTAAATGGCTACTGTAACCTATATACACACACTATGTAACTAATTTAAAATAAAGAAGACGACAGATAACCTGCCTGCCAAGCGTGGCAACTATGGCAAATATCCCTCTTCTCTATATATACATATATATATATATATATATATATATATATATATATATATATATATATATATATATATATTATCTCTAGAGCCTCTAATCCTAACAATCAAAGCAATCGCATCCTACGTTCAACATTGGACTTTTATTTATGATGGATGGAGATAGTCTTGGTCTTAAGATATGACGTCGAATCTGTGGCTTCCTTCGTTTGTTGTATTAGCTGCATAAGACCATCTGCCACTCTAATAAAAACTTGCACGGTCTTTAGCTACCCGCATCCGTCGACGTTTTTCAAAACCATACTAAAATTTCTCTATTACGTCGGTAAAAAAGTTTCATGAATAATATGATCTTGCATGAATAAATAGTTCAATGTTTCATTTGTATATTCTGTCAGATTTTATCTGAACACTGAAAAATCAACCATTAATCATATTAAACATATATTAAAAATTCCGAAAATGAATATATGGATATTCTTAAGTGTTTGGAAGTAGGGTGTATAAGGTTTTAGTTTGAGCTAATATCTCTGCAAGTGTGCTCCAGG